TTAATTCCATAAATCCTCCATTCACAATATAACATAATATTTTCTAAGAAAATCCTTGGCTTAAAAATACATGAATTGTATTATTTAAGGTCTGAAATTTTCTCAGTCATTACAATAGTTAAATTGTATTATATTAAATATAATAATTATATATTACATTAGGTAAAGTCTCCAATCCAGTATCGGATTAGAGCGGCACGTGTATATTTCTTTTAAAGATATGTTTATTTCCTCTTAAAACATGTATATTTTCTCTTAAAACATGTATATAAGTGTTTAGATAAATTATATGTGTCTTCTCATATTATACATGGTTTAAAAGGAAATATACATATTTTTAAGAGGAAATATACATGTTTTTAAAGTAAATATACATGTGCCGCTCCAACCTGGTGCTGGGTTTGACAATTCCTATAATATTATATTATAATTATAATATAATTGTAATTTTTAATTATATTATAACTAAAATATTATTATTTATTATATAATCTTATATAATATTATAATTATATTAACAATTTTAATAATATTATTATAAGAATTGTCTCCAATCCGGCACCGAATTAGAACGACACATGTATATTTCTTTTAAAAATATATATATTTCCTCTTAAAAACATATATATTTTCTTTTAAAACATATATAATGTGAGGAGACACCTATAATTTATTTAAACACATATATACGTGTTTTAAGAGAAAATATACACGTTTTTAAAAGAAATATACATGTGCCGCTCCAATCCGGTACCAAATTGAAGACTTTACCTATTATTATATTATATATCATAATTATATAATAATAATTATATTATATTATATTACATTTTATATATTATATTAATTATATTGATAGGTAAAGTCTCTAATCCGGTACCGGTATCAGATTAGAGCGACACATGTACATTTATTTTAAAAATATGTATATTTTTCTCTTAAAATATGTATATGTCCTCTTAAAACATGTATATTAGTGTTTAACCAAATTATAAGTGTCTCCCCACATTATACATGTTTTAAGAGAAAATTTACATATTTTAAGAAAAAAATACACATTTTTAAAAGATATATACACGTGTCGCTCTAATCCAATACCAAATTAAAGACAATTCATATATTGATATATAAAATATTAACGTTACTATAAAGGTAATTTTATCAATATAAAAATATTCATGCTTCATTCCATAATATTCTTAAAATTACAACTAAATAAATGAATTAATTTTCTTTTCCATTTTATTATCATTATCATTATCATTTCTATTACTATTACCATTTTCCCACTGCACCCACCATTTTTCCACTGCACCCACCATTTTTCTATTACTATTACCATTACTATTACCATTTTCCCACTGCACCCACCATTTTTCCACTGCACCCACCATTTTTCTATTACTATTACCATTTCTCACTGCACCCACTATTTTTTCTGCAACTAAACGCACCCTCAAAATAATGAGCTTTTTACTCTGTCTCAAACGGTCCCAAGTACTTAATGAAATGGCTTTCAGAGAGAAAATCTTGGGTCTCTGAAATGTCAAAACCACAACAATGGAACAAACATCAGCTTTGTCAGAAGGGGCACTCCCCTTCAAAGCTTTAAGGGGTCTATTCACGTCATGACCCAGCAAGATTTGCTATATCATTGAAATGCTTCTGAAAGTTCAAAACATGCAACTTAACGCGGTTGTTAACACTTCTTGGAACGACAGAACATTATTATGTAGCTAAACAGCAAATTACACATCCTCGATTTAGCTATAGTGTGTTCGTTAACTGCATAAACACCAAATAAACAGAGTACAAAAGTTGTAGCACCCACAAAAACCCAAATTTTACCATCATGGAGTTATTAATTAAGTAGACATTCAAGAAAATCTGATGATGGCAAAAGTATCCTACGCTATAGATAGGAAGTTCTGTGTGATCAGAGATTTACCAACTGCACGACCAGACCCCATGTCTATGGTTTCTCCATAAAAAACCTTCTTCCCGACTCGTACAAAGTGGGACTCGAAAAATCATTCATTCGCAGCCTCCACCTTAGAAGGGATTTCCTCAGAAGGGCTTTCCTCAGATTTAGCAGCAGGCTTTTCTGATGAAATGCCCTCAGCAGGCTTAGCTTCGTCTTTTGTTTCAGTGGAATCCGCTTCCCCGGAAGTTGACCACTCAGTTACTGGAACGGCCTTCTTGATAGTTCCAACCTTGACATACTTACTCATAAACTTGTATTCCCAATCCTGCAACGCCTCAAGTTCAAATGGACCAAGCTCAGAGATGTCACCAGTGAGATCTTTGTCTTCAAAAGACATCTTGGCAAGAGCTCTACTAGCATCTTTTCCAGCGAACAATGCATAAGGCCCGCCAGGTCCATAGAACATCCTGCCGGTTCATGTAGATAAGTTAAAAACTTAGCAAAAAGTCAAAAACTTAGGAATAAAAGATAAACAATGCAAAGGAATCCTAAGAAGCAATAGGTTACTAAAGTATTTGTCGCCAAATTAGAAAAAAATCAAGCATGTAAACAATGCAAAGGAACCTAAGAAGCAATAGGTTACTAAAGTATTTGTCGCCAAATTAGAAAAAAATCAAGCACGAAACATCCTTTATTTTGTCCCCTTTTTTTTGTTTTGTTTTCCTCTTTTCGAGCCAAATATTTGATGCTATCTCAAAAGCACTGATCTTTCTTTAAAACTTATTCAAATACACTCAAGGTCTGTTCATTTCACCGATTCGAATTTAAAATTCGAGTTTTGTCACAGTAAAAAATTCTCAAAAACAGTCACATCTAATTTTTTTTTTATTACAGTAAAAAACTCACATAAAATCACATCTCAACTCAAATTAAAAACTCAATCAGTAACTGACCCTCACATATTTCTGTTGAAAAACAAATTAATCTCTGATAAGAAGGCAAAACAAATGAAACAAGAATCTTATATTAAAGGCTTTTATATATGGAAAAAGCCTCAGCAAATCAAATGCAATAGGCTTCCATAGACAAACCCACTTGGTAAATTCTGGATTAAATCCATATCATGTAAATGAAAGAGAAAAATTGCCACTTGCACATAGTCAAATACTTAGCCGCTCTAGTTTGACAGAAATTTTGAGATAAAAATTAAAAATTTCTCCACTTTCTTCATATTCTAACAAGTGAACCACAAAAAAAAAAAAAAAAAAAATCCAACACATACCAAGAAGCTTAATCAAGAGTTGACAAAACAGTAGGAAAAAAAGAAGGTAAAATCTAAAATAACCGAAAACTCAACATACCAAGCAAAAAAGCCCTAAAAGAGAGAAAAGGAGAAAACTTTATGGAATACCTGCTCTGAGAGACGTCATAGATCTGGCCCTTGATGCCCATGAGCAAGGGTTTCTGGGGATCGGAGCCATCGTATTGCTTCAGGTCGTCCTCGGTGATCTCGCCGAGCTGAACCGGAGGAGGCAGAGGCGGAACCTCCTCAAACGATCTGGGCCGCTCGTGGTGGGTATCGGAGGACGCAAACAGCCCCGAAACGACGTAGTAGATGGCCAAAACGAGAGCGAGCACGGTGAAGAAGGTCGCAGGAGAAAGGCCAGTGTAGGTCGGAATTGCCTCTTTGAGTGTCTCCCACAGTTGCAGAGCCATTTTGGTTTCGCCGATATGAGAGAGAGAGAGAGAGAGAGAGAGGAGCAGGCGATTGATATTTTCTCTCTCTTTTATCTGCTGACAAGTCTCAAAAGTCTTACTTTTGGTCTAAATTTGCACCTTTTATAACGGTTGATTTATTTTCACCTCGTTCATTTTAATGAGTGAAGTTTAAAATTTAAATTTTATTATAATAAAAAATTTTTAAAAATAATTATATTTAATTTTTTTATTACATTAAAATTTTTTTTATATAAAATCACATTTTAATTTAAATTAAAAATTTAAATTAGTGAATTAAACGACCTTTTTCTTTCCATCTATTTCTTTTTCTTTTTTTTTTCCTTTCCTTTTTTAGGACATTCTCTCCTATAAACATACTGATATGTTAAGTTTTTTAATCATTAAATCTGTATAAAATCACGTAAAAATTAAAAAATATACATATTTAATAGTTAAAAAATCTTACCTATTAATACACTACACATACTAAAAAGTTTTTATTTTTTAAGGAATATGAAACTTTAATGTAATTTGTAAAAATTGTAGTTTAATCTTATTATTAAGAATTGATGTTTTAATTATTAGATTATTTTTTTAATTTGTAAGAGAAAATAATTTTGTATGGTGCGTTGATATAATTTGATGTACGTACAAGTTATAGTAAAAGAACTAATCAAACGGTGAAAATAATAGTTTTTATCAATGAGATAAAATAGCAATTCCACGGTAAGGAATTTCGAAGAAATAAGAAATAATTATTTACTATTTTTACTGGGGATATTCTCTTTTCATTTTTCGGGAGGATAAAAGTTTTTTTCTTTTTTTTTTTCTTGCTTTGGGGTACAAACTAGAAAGGATTCCGCGAAGACTTTAATTGTATATAAAGATTTTGACAGGATTTACTATGTGTCTCATTTATAAATTAGTTACATATAAAAGTTTATATAATATATTAAATACAAATTACATGAATTTTGAAGGGATTGTTTTTTATAACGAAACTCAGTAAAAATTTAAACTCGAGTTATTATTTTATTGAAGTTCATGTTATTTTGTAAAATTTGTGTTTGAACTCAAGTTTGAGACTAAACTCGAGTTCAAATTTCCCTTTCAACTCGAGTTTATAAACTTAAACTCAAGTTTATGAACAATATTTTTTCTATTATTAAAAATGTCATAATTTTTTCGTTTTAATTCTGATTTAGATGATTTTTTTTCTATGAATTCACAATGAAAAAATGAATAAAACCACACCCATATATCCTATTAAAATTTTTCATCACCATTGATTTTTTTATTAAAATACTATCTAAATACAAATTTAAGTTTTGACCTACCCAAACACAAATTCAAAAAGATTTTCAATTCAAATCATAATTAATATGTGCCAATCAAAACACAAACTCAAGTTACAACTTCAACTCAAATTATAACTCAAACTCAATTAAAGATCATCATTCAAGTTACCTTAACTCAAAAATACAAAAGAACAATATCAAAATATTTAAGATTTATTAACACGAATTGCCGCCGTTAGCTAAAAAACCAGGCAAAATAGGCTACTTCATCTGATTGAAAGGTTGTTAAAATTCTCCTATGCCCAAGTGGCAAAGGGGAAAAAGAAAATCACGGTTGTCCATTCTATCTCCAGCAAACAAGACTTTTGTTCTCACCCTCCAACAAGTTATCGTTAGAGTATATATAAAACACAATCAACAGAAGAAAACAATCTTAAAACCATTGATTTGGAAAAACGTTTTCATTTTGGTTATACAAAACTAACTCTCCATCCAAATCTAGCAAGGAGTTGGAAATATTAGCACAAACATTTTTACCTTTCGAGATTGAACTTAAGCCATAAAAAGTCTTCATGGTAGGTGCAAGATACGCAAACCGTGACAAAACCCAAAAAACGCATTGTTAAAGATGACTCCTTGTTCTCTTCAAAAAAAAAAAAAAAAAAAACAAAAAAGGGGACTTCTTGTTGGCCTTTTTTTGCAGCCCTCAGATAGTTATTTGTATAATGTTTATTATTATTGTTGAGTGAAAATGCTTCCTTTATTTCATTTGAAAGGAAAAATAATACTTAAAAAGAGTTCGTTTCAGTATTTTGCCCTTCATGGAGATGGTAAATTAAATTTGTAATCTTATCAAATAGTTGATAGTTTGTCTTCTAACTCTCGTAGAAGCCGTCGTGGTGGCGGTTGTTTTATTTTATTTTTTGTTTTTCTTTTAAGCTTTATTTATTGGGTTTTTTTTTCTTCCACTAATATGATTAATTTTTAACCGTTAGATCTAATTAAAATTATATAAAATTAAAAAAATATAAAACAGATGATTTTTAATACATATCTGACACTAGTAATTATTTTTTTATATTACTAAAAAAACTCCCTTATCTATTATTATTTTGTTTTTTGTAATTTTTTTTTGTTTTTTTTATAGAGCCTGATTCGAGAAAGTTGGATGGTGTAAGTTTGATCGGAAAGAGTACCACGTACGCCATTTACTAATTCGGACCCCACTTCACCTCCTCGTGCAACGAAACGTTTTTCTTTAAATTGAAGAATTTGCGACAAATACAAAAAAAAAAAACAAAAAAACAAAAAAACAAAAAAACCTTATTCACGATTATTCCACTTCTACGTTAGAAAACCCGTCTAAAAAATGTTTGGCACGCTTTTAATTTTAAACATCAGATTATAGAATAATAGAATAATAGTAGAATCTGTTTATTTCACCGATTTAAATTTTGTTACAGTAAAAAATTCTCTCAGAAATAATCACATCTAACTTTTTTACTACAGTAAAAAGCTCTCACATAAAATTACATCTAAACTCAAATTAAGAACTCGAATCAGCGAACTAAACGGGCCCATAATCTTTAGGGTGCACTTCGCGCACATAATTCATTTAAAATAATAGTTATATAAATTGTTATTTGAAAAAGAAAAGAAAAAATTCATAAATAAAAGGAATGAAAATAAAAGTGAGAAAAGACTTGAAGCGAGGGACAAGAAAAAAAAAATGTATATTTTGTTGTATTTTAAATTAACTCTATTTTGTTTCGTTTAATTTGTTTTTTATTTAATTTGTGTGATATTTTTCAACAAATACCAAGTTGACACGTGGTCACTTATTTGAGCGAACTATCTATAGAGTGCCATGTGTTTCTCACTAAAAAGGACGTCCAATTGCTGACTGACACGTAGCGATTTCACTGAGACCTAGTGCACTGAATCACATTCTATAATAGGAAAAAAAAACCGTCTCATTCAGGGAAATAAGAAAAAAAGAAAAAAAAAAAAGAGAGTAAAAAGAATGAAAATTATAACAAAAACAAAAAACCCTCACTAACAAAACATTCATTAGAAAAACACGATTTAAAAAAATTTAGACATGGATATGTATAAAAAAATTATTTAAACGGGAAATTAAAAAGAGCATATTTATGAGGGCTAATTTGGGGAAGAGGAAAAAAAAAATTATGTAATAGGGCAAAAAAAATAAGAATGTAAAGAAGATAGAAAAAAAGTAAGAATAGAGGAAAAAGCGTTAAAAAAAATTAAAAAAGATAAAAAAAAAACCTTTAAGAAAGTGAAAGTATAAAAAAAAAAAAAAAAGAATTGAAATCAATACTTGTATAATCACAGTTTACCAAACACTCAATTACTTTTTGTAACAGTTATTTTTGTTTCTCAACACAGCTAACAATAATTTTTTTAAAATTTATAACACTACCAAACTAGCCTTTAGTATTGTTGATTGATGATACACAATTAACAAATTCAATAAAATAAAACTGTACAACAGCGGCAGAGTATTATTTTGTACCCAAAAAAAGGGTACATAAGGCGTGATAGGAGTTGCAATAAGAGATATTCTGAAAGCTAGTCAAGTTTGGCCGCCATTCTAAGCTCTAAGCGCCGTTAACAATAAAGTTAACTACCACTATTTTGAACAGCATACAATTCCAAACTTTTCAGGCAGCAAAAATTTAGAGGCATATAACTAATATCAATCACAATGGTCATGATAAACGAAGTTATGTACAGCAGCAATACAGACTTCTAATCTTGCCTCTTGCCAAGCGGGCATTAAATCCCATTTATCAAAATCTTAGGAACTCCACATTCCAAACACACCCATATCCAAAGAAAGAGAAAACATTGTCTTTAAACAGAAGATTTTACATTAATTCCACGAAGAGAGCTCTCATTCACATCCATTCCAAAATGTTTTATTACGTTTTCTGGCCGAAAAGTAACCACGTTTACAGAAAAAAAAAAAAAGAGGCAAATAAGCTACAACATCTACCTAAAGTACAGCGTCAGAACGCTCAAATCAAAGAGCAAGTGAGCAAACCTCGTCAGCTTTCCACAGATCTTCCTCATATTTGTACCACCTCATAAGCCCTTCATCGTTTTTCGTTCGCTCGCACATGAGGCAGGAGTCTTCCATGCACGTTAGAAATAAGCGCAACCGAGATGCCCTCTCGAGGATAAAACGATCAAGTTCTTTAATGACTCTTTTGGACGCAGGGTGAGGAGGGACCTCAATCAGAAGGCAATGTGATATATTTAGAACCTCCAAGTGCTTTAAGCCCTCCAAGATCAAGATGAGAGCATCCTTATTGAGCAGCGAGCATCGGAGGCTCAACACTTTCAATTTCGGAAGATATGTAACTATTGTAGAAGCACATAGCACGTCACAGGGACCCATGATCTTAAGTTCACTGAAATTTTTGCAGTTCCTGGAGATCTCCTCCATGAAGTATGGCGGATTAGCTATGCTGGGCATCGTCAGGGATTCAAGATCTTTCCACACTCGGATGGCCTTGCATATTCCAGTCTTTTTTATTCTGTTCCAAGCTGGAAGAACTAGGCGTTTGAGCCGTGGACACCTGCAATGTATATGTATTGACCACACCATGGAATCTTGGGATTTATTTGTTACAAAAAAGAAAGAAAAAAAAAAAGACGTGCATCGTATATTAAGTTATACAACCTATTTCTGGGATCATAAACAGAATCATTCCCTTATTTATATTTCCAAGATTACGAATCTGTACAAGGTTCCTGGTTGTATTTCTAATATAGTTGTCCAAAGTGCTGCCTATATATGTTGTAAGTTGTAACCTAATCAAGATTAATAAAAGGGGGGAAAAAAAAACATCCCCCGGGTTCTAATAAAATACAGTATTCAACATTGCATTTTGGGAATTAAAAAAGCAACCCCTCAAATTGCCAATTCCCTACAAAAATCCACCCTGATGCGAGCTTTGGTCAATATTAGACATGGTGATTGGCTTCAAATAAGGTTAAGGTTTAAGAATAGTTGCGTAGAAAAGGATTTTTCAAGATAAACTTGGCATGTCTAATTTTATGACATTGAATCAATTAAAAGGCATTTAAGGAATATATTTCAAAAGAGAGCAACAATTTGAAGGGATTCTATTGTAATTCCTGAGAATATAAGGTTCAACATCTAATTTCAATTTAACCCAAGGAGGCTTTTGTGATTTTGCCTTGATCAAAATGGTTTTTCTAACATGTAAAGCATCAATCTGCTTTGGAATATGTCAACTGTTAGCCTTCAACTTGTATGAACTAAACAAGCATGACTTAGAAAAGTAGACCACCAATTGCATCCCTGTCCTGTCTTTGACATATCAACAATTTTATTGGAAATCATTTCGGACAGGAAATGCACCAAATAGACAGATAACCAGAATATAAACGCATGATTTTCACCCACATAAAAAGATTATTATAATTACCTTTCAGCAGTGTAGGTCAACTGTTCATCACTCACGTACAAGTTGAAATGGAAGATCAGCGTCATAATGTTTCCACGGCTAAGACTCAAGGAAATCTTCAACACGCGAGTCAATGTCTTATCAGACCGACCATCGACATAAACATAGGGCTCCAGCGGGATTTTTATGAAATTAGACTTCAACATCGATAAGTCGAGTGTTTTCCACAGCAAAGGATCACAGCAAGCCAAGCGCCATGCGCTGCACACATGAGCAATCCCTGAAGTTAACTCGAAGATGTCAAAAGTTTGAAAAATCTTCACCAATATGTCAGTGTCCAAATCTTCCCATCTTCGCGATACAGAGTAACTGTCTTCCATGCCCACAGCTTTCCAAACTCCTCCTAACACATTATAACAGCTACAAAAGAAAGTAAACAGAATCAACAAAAAAGGCTTAACTGAGAAAGAAATCTTTGAAAAGAGCAAAACATATGAAATCTATGGATTTGGTATCGGATTTCGCTTTCCCCTATTTCCGCTTGCTCTTTCAAGCCTTGAGGCCACAAAACTTCTCAAATTGAACTAGTTGGCAAAGTATAGCCATCCATAGGACCTTGAACAAGAGCAAGTTTGAACAAAGATTCCAACAAAAGATTCAACGAGAATGTGAGGATAAAAACACACTAATGGTTCAAGAGATTGCTATTCTAAATCTTCTAGAGTTGGCGAAACCACATGAAAACTGCAAACCACACACACTCCAATTTGCATATCCAATCAGTTAATAGATCATAAAATGTCTAATGGTTAATTAATTAAAATAGCTTGGTCAATTTGGGATTCAAAAAGCATCTTCTGTTTGGAAAAATTGGAACTATAACTATAGTCCTAGAGGGGAAAAAAGACAAAATTGAATAGGAAAAACATGTAAAGATGGTACAGAAAAATACAGCAGTAAGTGGTTAAATTACTTGTTAAAATATCAACAAGCAATAGAAAGTTATTACGAAAAATAAAAACTGTAATTCAAACTATATTTCAAAATCCTTTATATGCCAAAAAGAATAATAAAACTTTCTATGAACAGAATGAAGAGATCACCTCCCGAGGGCTATCAAATCCAATTCTACGTCGAAGAATTCAAGATCACGACACGAAAAGCTTCAATCATTTACCCACAAAGAGAAATCCTGAAGCAAAAGAACATGCTTTAAACATCAAATTCTCTAGGTTTTGTCGCTTCGGACCAGATCTATACAATCTGATCCAAATTCTCACTCAAAAAGCATGCAAACACAACGGCAATTATACGCGCATACACAATTATATCTAATATACACATAAATTGAAAAAAAAAACACACACACACACACAAAAGTCTTAGAATATATAGCTAGAGGAAGAGAAAGAAGAAACCTTGAGAAAAGGAAAAAAAAAAAAATCAAAGAGAAATGAAAATTGAGTTGTTGTTGGGAGGTGAAAATGAAAATGAAAGGGAAATATAGGGAAGGAAATGGTATTCCTAAAAACAAGTGAGAGAACCAGATTCCAGGGGATAGTGAAATTACCAAAAGGGGCTTTGTTTTTGCCCTTTTTCAGCGCAGCGTAACTCCCATTCCGGTCCTGCTCGCTTTATGAACCATTCACCGTCATCATCATCAGATATGCAAAGTGTGTGTTTGTGTTGGAACACTTGTGTGTTTCTGTTTTGGCCGAATGGCTTGTTCACAGATGGTTGGTTCGTTCCGACAAGAGTAAAAAAGCCTGTGAGTGTTATGAAGTCAGAAAAACCCAAATAAAAAAAAATTAAAAAAAAACCCACCAAATTGTAACGCACACGTGCTCCGAACCATGAAGACTCGGATCTGTATCCAATCCAATACTATGATCTATCAAAGTTCTAGAAATAGTGGACACCCGACAAAAAAAAAAAAAAAAAAAAGAGGAGAAATTAAATCAGAAATTTGTTGACGTCTAAAGTGAAAATGACGGTAAAAAGCCTCAGAAATGTCTGGATAATAATGTATGTAGGTTTTTTTTTTTTTTTTGGAAATATGATCATGTATGTATATTTGATATGACTCTTTATTTATTGTGGCTGGTTTTTTTGTTGGTACTTACTTGGTAAATGTGTGGTTTACCAAAAATTTATTTTGATCCAAATCCAATTTCCTACCAATAATAACATATATTCAAGTTTTTAATTTGAGTTGAGATGTGATTTTATATGAGAGCTTTTTACTGTAATAGAAAATTTTAGATATGACTTTTTATGAGAACTTTTAACTATGACAAAACTGAAATGAGTAAAATGAACGAGACTTTAATAATTCCCGAATCCCGTTCGAAACGTGGAATATATTTTCAAAAAATTTGTTGTAATTCAATTTTTTATTTTGAAAAGTGTTCTAATTCAATTTCGTTTCTATAAACTCGTACCATCTTATATAATTTTTATGCAAAAATAGGTATTAAAATTTAAGTTACGCATCTCTACTCAGAAAAAAAAATTTACGGTAAACTTCTAAAATTTTATTAATCATGAACAAAGCCACTTCTTACAATGCGACTAATAAAAGAAGGCAAGGAGTCAGTCCTGAACAAATTACAAAAGAAATAAAAGCATGACCAACTAGCATGTGGGCTACACTATTCCTTTCGCGAAAAGTGTAGCAAATTGAGCCACAACGAGCTTAAATAAATATATTTCTAATATATTAAATTTGAATAAGTGAAATGAACGAGTTTTTAATAATTTTTAAATCCCGTTAGAAATGTGAAATATATTTTTAAAAAATTTATTGTAATTCAATTTTTTATTTTGAAAAGTGTTGTAATTCAATTTCATTTCTATTAACTCGTACCATTTTGTATAATTTTTGCGAAAAAATAGATATTAAGATCTAAGTTACGCATCTCTACTCAGAAAAAAAAATTTTATGGTAAACTTTTAAAGTTTTATTAATCACGAATAAAGCTACTTCTTACCATGCGATTAATAAAAGAAGGCAAGGAGTCAGTCCTAAACAAATTACAAAAAAAAACAAAAGCATGACTAACTAGTATGTGAGCTACACTATTCTTTTCAGAAAATGTAGTAAATTGAGCCACAACGAGCTTAAATAAAGATATTTCTAATATATTAAACAACACCGGCTTCAGGAGCCCGTTTAGAAGGAGTCTCAACCTCGTGAACAATTTATACAATGTGTCGAAAGCTCATTTAACTTGGGAGCAATGTAAGGAAAGAAAAAAAAAGTATAATTCAATAAAAAAAAATGCATTAAAAATATAGAGGAAAAAGTTTTAGTGGCAACAGTTTACTTTTTTACCATTTTACAGTTTATACTAGCATCAAACGACATCGAATTAGCGAGATCTCTCGCAATTTACATAACTCAGATTGAAACTCACATGGACATGTTTGGTAAAGTTTTTAAAATAATTTTATTTTTAGTATAAAAGTAAAAATAAGATTATTTTTAAAATGATTTTGAGATCAATTTTAAAATTGTGTTTGGTTAATTTTTTAAGAAATTATTTTGAGTATAATAAAAAAATAAAATCGTATTTTGTTATAATTATTAATTAATATATTATAATATTATTAATAAGTACTAAAAATAAAAAAAAACTTTTAATTATTTTTTAATTATTTCACAAAAATTATTCTTTTTAAAATATTTATTAAATAAACACGATTTATAAATTATTTTTATTTTCGTGTCTTAAAAATTATACAAAAATATTTTTAAAAACAATTTAAAATCAATTCCAAATAAACCCCACGACCACGTGTTTTGAAGATTTTCCCACTCAAAAGCTCAAACTTAACAAATATTACATTAATTTTCAAAAAAAAAAAAAGCTTTATCATGTAACTCGCCTTCTGTTACTCTGTACATCGGAATTCAGAGAAATGGGTGTGAAGAATCTATGGGATGTTCTCGAATCCTGCAAGAAAACTCTCCCACTTCGCCATCTTCAGTAAGTTCTCTCCCACCAAAAACAATTTTGCTTTCTTTTTTATACTCCATTTTTCTTTCGATTTTCCGTATTCATTTGGGTATTGGGATTTTTTTTTTTGGGTTGTAGGAACAAAAGAATATGCATAGATCTCTCTTGTTGGATGGTTCAACTCCACAATGTGAGCAAGTCACACTCTTGTTTGATGGGGAAGGTTTATCTCCAAGGCCTCTTTCACCGCCTTCGAGCTCTAATCGCTTTGAATTGCAGCATTATATTTGTTACTGGTGTGTTAGTTTTCTTCTGTTGACTATTTGTTGCTTGTTTAAGTTTGAAACTTGGGGTTGGATCTTATGCATATCAGGTGTTTGATTGTTGTACCCATAGATTCCATTATTTTTTGAGTTTGTAAAAAATGGGTTTATGTTTTTTTTTGTTTTTTTGAGTATTTGCGGAAACTGAAAAAGACTGACTTTGTTGTGGGACTGAGTGAGATATGACATGATTTAGGGTCTAAAAGCTGCTTCTGTCTGAAGGTGTTTCGATTCTCTTTTTGAGAGTTTTGCCTTTTAGAAGAACTTTCGCTCAAAGTCGCAAATTGCAGTGCAGCTTCTCAAAAAATCTTTAAACATTTTAATTGTTTATTAGAAAATTTAGAAATCCATTTGATCCATTAAGCTATTTTAAAAATATTGGTTCCAAAAAAGGCACAAGCCCGCAACTTTTACTTATTTTTTTCTACTGTCTCAAAAGCTATGCTAGCGTGCCGTTAGTTTCCGTCTAATCTAATACACAATTTTTGCTAGTCTCATGTCTAATACGGACAATGGGGAATCATGTCAAAGTTATGTTTCGAATTGAAATGTGTTTTGGACATAGGTACTCGTTCAAGGAGTTAGTTGCTTCAGTTAAATATTCGTATCAATTTAGCTAGAATGTGCACAAAAGTCTGTGTTTTCTAGGATGTTGATTTTTCTTTTAAGGGTGTTTGTCAATGTATTTACAAATGAATGGTCTTTGCTCTTTGATAGATGGAGCAATTCCTGCGATTAAGATAGCGACTTACAGGCGCCGCTTAAATTCAAAAAATGAAGTGAGTATTCTTGTGTTTCACAATCTAACTGTTTTACAGCCTTTGCACTTGTTTCCATGCACTTTTCTCTCTCTTGTGTGCATTGAAGTGAGATTAATGAAGGCAGGTCAATAACGGTGAAACAAACTCAGAAAAGGTGTCTTCACTTCGAAGGAATATGGGATCTGAGTTCTCATGCATGATAAAGGAGGCAAAAATCTTGGGCATGGCACTTGGCATTCCTTGCTTAGATGGGTGAGTATACGTTTACTCCAGCAGTCCAGCATCATGCTAGGTTTACGATTAGAAGAGAAAGGAAGTTTTCTTTTCTATTTTTCAATCATAAGTGAGGACGAAAAAGGAAAGAAAGGGCGGATAACATGACTAGAATGTTCCCTCTTGACACTAACTCTGCTGTCTAAATAGCAGACATTTTCCTAAGAAGTATAATGGAACCATTTTTTTCCTTCTAAAATAAGCAAGCATTACCCAGAGTAGAATTTTCTCTTCTAATAAAGCCTTATTTGCTTTTGTGTCGACCTTTATTAGAGAATGCCTCAATGAACAGAAACTTACAAAGAATATCATTTTTTATTTACATTTAGGGTTGAAGAAGCAGAAGCACAATGTGCATTGCTGAACTCTGAATCACTATGTGTAAGTCACTAAGACTAAGTTTAATTTGTTGGGACCATCTATCACGTGCATCATGCCAGAGCATCACAAAGCCCACCATCATATTACCTTCTTATTTATCATCTGTGACATCTCCATAATAGTTTTCACAAACACGTCTATTGTGGTCAACAGGATGGATGTTTCACTTTAGATTCAGATATTTTCCTTTTTGGTGCAAGGACGGTGTACAGAGATATCTGCCTCGGTGAGTAGTCCGGAGTTTTCCATCTTAACTGGAAAAGAAAAAGATACTGGGATTTGATTACTTCAATTTGAGGAAGTATATATCTGTTCTATGTTCAATATATTTTCACTAATTTGTGCTTATCATGTGCAAAATGGATTAGGAGATGGGGGTTACATTGTTTGCTATGAAATGTCAGACATAGAAAGACAACTTGGATTTGGAAGAAACTCGCTGGTAATCTTCTAGTTGGCTTGTGAATTTTACTAAAAATTATTGTTTTCTTTTCTAGGGACCGTTTCCTATTTCCGTTTTTTTTCCTCTCCGGCAAACTTTTTCTTGGCTTTAACTTATTGCAAAATCTGATTAACTTTTCCCTTTTTGAACTGATGACCAAAGGTAGACATGATAGATCATAGAAGTTATATTTTTACTTGACACTTTGTTCCTTTTAGCTACTTCTATGGTTTGATCAGATGTGCGTCACTTCTTATTTGAATTCTCTATTTTCATGACGTTATACTTTTCCTTCTAATGTCCTCAATCTCCTTTTTTTTTCCCTATGGGATTCATTTTTTTATAATTTCGAAGAAGTCCTTGACTTCGTTACTTGTGATCCATAGATTACCCTTGCCCTACTTCTTGGAAGTGACTACTCTCATGGAGTACATGGTCTGGGTCGTGTGAGTTCTAAAACCTGTTCATTTCTCATTTACTCTCAACATCAATGTGCACCTTCTTTCCAGTTTATCGCGTTAATGAATGGATGCTTATTCTTTTTTCTTTTCGTGGCTTTAGGAATCAGCCTGTGAAATTGTGAAGTCTATAGGAGATAACGCTGTCCTCCAAAAAATAGCGTCAGAAGGCCTCTCCTTTGCTAAGAAGACAAAAGGTCTGAAGAAACAGGGACAAAATTTGATGAACAACAAGGAGAACTTAATGGTTCATAACTCGGATATGAATAGTATGCTCCGGAGACCTTTATGCATATGTGCTATATTAGCATATATAGTAGTTCTTATAAACTCCCTGACTGTATCTAATTTGAAGTTAAAATTTAAGCAGATTTCTCAGCAATTTATTCTCTGCTGAAGCTTATATCTGCACATATGTATATCCTCACATTACTTTTATTGATTTGCATACGATGTGATTAGCTCATGTATCTGTTTTTATTAAATTGCATGACTTTTGAATTTTCTGTGTAGGATATGAGCCTTGTTCATCAAAGGATCGATCAGTTTTGGATGTGATCAATGCATATTTAAAGCCAAAGTGTCACTCAGCAGATTCTGCTGCCGTGCATAGGTAAGTGCTAGTTTTATAATACTGTTTTCGGGGCTGATGGTAGTTAAGAAGAATTCTGCAGTATAGGTGCCGTTGATTTATTTTTGTTCTTATGTTTGTCTAAACAATAGCGTATCAACTAGTTAGATTGTTGATACCGATATACATGGAAGAGTCTTGTAAATATTTGGCACCAACAATTATTCCTAGAGCAGGTTTTTGGGCCTCGATTCAGGAGACACAACTCAGGACCTGCTCCCAAGGAAGGGGCTCATGGGTGGGCGACGTGCATATTAGACTTTTACCTTTTCCAAAGTTCACCAATTTTATCAAAGTCCCCAACTTAGGTCTACCAGGCTGCTTCAATATGGGATCTAGGATTCTAGGTAGTAGGTCCTAGTCTATCAAATCTAGTTAGTTAACTTGCTTTTCAACTTTGTCCTCTGAAGGGTTCTTGTTCAGCACCCATTTCAACATGTCAAATGTCAGCAGATATGCAATCAGTTTTTCGCGTGGCCTACTGAGAAAACAGGTTTTCCATCTTCTCCTTTCACCTGTGTCTACTGCCTTGTATCTTCACCCTTGAACATGTGCAGGTGCAAAACTTTAATGCTAACATCATGTTGGTTTAACGAATCATTTTTTTTTTTTGTCTTTTCATTTTTGTTTCAGATGAGTATATCCTTCCAAAGATTGCTGAGAGAGATCTACGGCGTTTTGCCAATTTACGTACAATGTCATCAGAACTTGGAGTGGACCTTCCCTTGCACGAGGTGCTTTTGATCTCTGTTGTACATAATTTTCCGTCCTTTCATCCTATTACAAGTTACTTAAATCTATAACATCCTGACCAATAGCAATAAATATGTGACCGTACCCATATATCATTTGAATAATAAGATGATTCTTACGCGTTGTTCCTTTTCTTATAGTATCAACTGTACATTAGTTTTGGCTTGTATTATGATTGCTCTGCATGACCATAGACCTTTACACTTTACAGATGCCAACCAAGTGCCCAGTTTCTGGAATCATCAAGCAGAGAAAAGTTCAGGGAAAAGAATTCTACGAGGTTTCATGGGAAGAGGAACTGCATGGACTTAAAACCTCCATAGTTCCAGCAGATCTCTTAGAAAGGTAAGAGTGTCGTCATCATAACTCACATTATCATTAGTGTAATCTTCTCATTTTGATGTCGATGTTCTAGTACTTGTGTTAAGTAAATACATTTGAACAAACATTGGATATTGTTGCATATGGAAAAAAGAAACGACATAATACACTCCTCTTCATCCCAAAAAATCAAAGTTGTGAGGACTGGGAAGCATCAGTTCCTTCCCTTACATAAATCTCTTTTTTGTTTTCTACAGGGCCTGTCCGGAGAAGATTGCGGAGTATGAGGAGGGTAAAGCTCAAAAGAAGAAACAGAATCGCTGCAACGCAAGAGCAAAGAAATCCGGAAATGAAGCTTCTATGGCTGAAATTGATCAGAGGCTCCAAAATCTTTTGCTTGACATCGAATCTGAAAGTAGTAGGAATACTACCTTTACTTGTCCTTCTCTTGCGTCAAGCACAGATATATCGGGACACAATACGGATGTCTTAGAAACAATCCCAGTTCTTGATAAAGAGCGAAAAAGTAGCAATGAAGAAGGTTCAACTGGTGTTAAGTATGAGAACGAAATAATTGATCTTCTGAGTCCTTCACCACCAAGATTGAGATTGACACTGTCTAGTAATAAGCAGCAAGTGAAGCCAAGTCCTAAAGTTGTGAATGTAATAGAATTAAGTGACTCTGAAACTGACATGTCGCCGGAACACCAAAGGAAGGCCAGAGAGTTGAGATTGTTCCTAGCTAGCGTCAGGGATTGACTTTCAACGATGTCTTGAAGCCAATGTAAAATTAGTTTTAAGTGTTTTTACCGGAAAATTGTAATGAATGTTTAAGTTTTCACATGAATCTTGTCCTCCCTGTTCATAATATTGGCTCTCTAAGGTCCTTTTCTTGATCTCGTTTCGTTTTGCAAGAGAGATTGGAAATTTAGTTAAAGCATTAACACTCGGGATGTTGGACGGGAGTTTGATGAAGCAAAAGAGAGAGAAATGAAGCAAACAATAAAAATAAGAGACATTTTCCGGGAGAATAAACAATCCAAGAAATTTTGTGCGTTTGTGAAAGATAACAAGACGAAGAAGTGAAAACGACAATGATAGGAAAAGCAACGTCCTAAAAGAACAAAGTAATCTGTAAACGACATCACCGAGGAGCGGAAAACGGCCGATTAAGAAAGACGATAATACTTTTTTTTTTTTTTTTGCTAATCGAAAGACGACAATACTTGATGACAGAAGACGACAACTTAAATTAAACGACAACATCTCCCAAAACCGACAATCTTCTAGGAAAAAGTCAAACTATAGAAACGACGAGCTAATTTAAAAAAATAAAAGATTTCTTTTTTTTTCCCCCTATAAACAACGTCATATAAAAGCAACAATAAATTAAAGAACATCATGGATAAACCCGTCTTAGGGAAATGATACAGATATGAAACAAAATCATAGATGAAAACGACCCCAAAAAAAAAAAAGAAGAGAGAAATGACAAGCATAAGCACATCATTAGATAGAAACGACAGCATCATGAAAAGGCAGTATCTTATCACGACAATATCCAATTGAAAGATCAGGGATTTGAAGTGATATAATAGAGGGAAAAAAAGGGAAAATCTTGTACAAAAATGACAACTTTGAAACAGAAATCTAAAATATAATAACTCAAAACAACAATGAGTTTGGAAACAAGAAGCACGTAGTAGAGCAACCTTGAAAAAGGATAGTGACGTAAAACAGGCAACATACTCGAGAGACAACAAGGATCTTGAACAACAATACTCCTAGACATCAGGATCATTTAAAAACGAGAACTTGAAAACGACAATGTCATGGAAATACGAACTAATTCAAAATCGGCAACATCGTGAAAAGCAGCGATAATGTAAAGAACAAATGTGTGCGATATTAAGACAAATAATGAACATGTGAACGAGAACCTGTACTTTCCAAAAAAACAAAACAAAAAAAACAAAAAAAACAAAAAAAAACAGCGAGAGAGAACCAATACGAAAATCGATGGTAACTTTAGAGAAACTTCATAGAAAACCCACAGCACAGAGAGTAGAAATTCCAATATTTGCAAAACGACGATGATCTTAAAAACGGCATCGTGACAGAAACGACAATAGGCCATAAAAACGACATGGTAAAAGATTGCCTAGAGAAACGACAGTGTAATCCCCTGAGAGACTGAGAGAGAGAGAGAGACGGAAGATATCTTCATAGGGACAGGGAGACGGCAATACAATGACATAAAAACTGAAGGCTGCATTATACATGCAGAAGCTTCAGCATCTCGTAAGATGCATATAACAGATGGAAGATACTTACTAAGAGAAAAAGATTAGACAATCAAAATTATACATACGTCTTTGGCAAAATTATCGTAATGTACCGCTCAGCAACTCATTTCACTGGTTCTATACAAAAGAGGAAGCATCTACAAACAAGGTGGAGATAGATTCATCAAGTACGATTTGTATCCACCGCTAGCTCACCATTCAGTTTGAGGAGCACCATTTTCTCAGCTGCTTATTAGCTCATTTGCGAGCCCTCTAGCCTGGTTCAACAATTGCAAGCTCTTTGCATGGTCATCCACAGATAGAGCGTTTTTCAAGATCAAGAAGAATTCCTTGTAGCCATCCAAGCATTTACTAGATTCCATTTCAAGCGTCATCTTTTCGTCTTTTTGACATAATGATGACGTTTCTAGCAAATGCATTTTTCCGCACTTGTTTGCTGATCTGTTGCTTACCACCATCTCCAGCCTAGAAGCCATGGTAACAGCTCGATTGATACACGAAGAAGGCAACTGCAAAACAATCAGTGCTCAACTAGCTTAAAAAATAGTGAAAATGCAAGTGTAAAAGGTATGCTAGAATAGAGTAGAGTGAAGAGAGAGAGAGAGACCTGTGCAAGCTCAGCAACCTTAAATCCAAAACTCTTTTCTGAAACACCAGGCACGAGCTTATATAGGTAAGTCACATCATGATCGGATTCAGAGTTCATGGTGCCGGTCTCCTCATTTCTATGTGAAGTAAGGTGCGAAACATGGTACGCTCCAACAGATCCAGGAAATTCAGCTATGATCTCGGCGATTTTAGGGTAGTGGGTGACGAAGAGGACCATACATCTTTTCTGCTCCAGCAAATGATGCAGCGTAGCATAAGCAATGGCCACACCATCATGTGTACTCGTGCCTCGTCCAAGCTCATCAATGATGACCAATGAGCGCTCTTTGCAACTTTTAAGTATATTGGAAGTCTCACTCAATTCTTCAAGGAAGGTGCTTCTCCCTTGTTGGATGCTGTCTGAAGCGCCCATTCGAGTGTAGATGCCATCGAGGACATGTAGTTTTGCTGATGAGGCTGGTACAAAGGAACCAACCTAGAGAAATCAGAGCACATTTTATATAGCAACAGCTGTAAGAAAATCATTCGGAGAGAGAGAGAGGGAGAGAGAGAGGGAGAGAGAGAGAGAGAGAGAGAGAGAGAGAGAGAGTGCTTTCATTCATAACAGCACAACCTCAAGAATTATTAGAAAGGATTCCCGATTTTACCTGGGCCATAATGGCAATGAGAGCAACTTGTCGAATGTAGCAACTCTTTCCACCCATGTTGGGTCCAGTAACAATCTGACAATACTCTCTGTCTGCATGCAAGTCTGTGTCGTTGGGAACAAAATTGTCTTGTAATATACTCTCCAAAACCTGGTAAGAATTTGTCAGTACTAAAAATAAGCCCTTAACATATGGAAACCTAGCCATTTTCAACTTACAAAATGGACTATAGTCCGAATACCGAGTAGTAGTACCTCAACAAATTTTATGACTTAAGACACCAATACAAGATTTCTGCTGTTAGTTGGGACATTGGCATTATTTTAAGGTTTCACATATTGATTGATTTATTCAATTACTAATTCCATTGAACACAAGTGATGCCCTAATTCCATTGAACACAAGTGATGCCCTAATTCCATTGCACATAAATGATGCCTAGATACAGTCAAGGACAAAATTTCAAGCAAAAAGTGATATCCAAACTCTGAAAATCTAAGCAAACTTCAGATGACATGATTTGAATTGCACTTTTGAGCACTAAAGAAAGAAAACTGGGAAAAACAAAGCTAAAGTGGAGAAGCTTAAAGTCATACCGGATGGCGACCGGCAGAGATATGTATCTGTACAGGTTCATCATCATATAAAAGAATTGGACGTACATAATTCTGTAACAGAAACAGATAAGCGGACAGAATTATACAATGTTACAAATAAAAAAGTTGCAAATGTAGGACTCAAGTTCGAATCAATAAAATCTCAAAGAGTACATACCTCATTTCTTGAAAGAATAGCGAGCGAATGTAGACAATCTAATGCGGCGAGGGCCTGAACAGCAGCTTGGAATTCAGCATAATAGTTGCTGAATTCCACCAGAAAGCTATTCCAAGCAGATTGACAGGCAACATTGAGCTCCTCATTTGCCAGTGACAGCTTGTCTAGAGCAGTCAACACTTCGGGTGGGTGATACCGGATTGTTTTTTTGGTACTATTAACCTTAACCCAATTTGAGGGTACCTTTACGTCAAGGGACAACTGCAGCCAATACATCAAATAATAAAGTATACAACAGCGTAAAGATGCGGTACAGAAACGGGAAAAAGAAAAAGAGGTACAGCATCAACAACATAACAAAAAAAAAAAAAAAAGGAGAACAAAAGGTCATTCTGCACCTTTTTTGCCTTTTCCCTTTGATGAAAAAAAGTGCGGATAACATACCTCTATCAAATGTGTCACTCCAGACACACTAATGAATTCCAGCTTGCTCATTTTAAGCTGCTTGCGATATAAAGTAATCAGAGAATCCAATTTTTCTTTTGCCAATTGAACCTTTTTCCGGGCTTCAGCAACCTACAGAAATATATCGTACCAGAAAGGTACATGAAGAATGATGAAAAAGGCAGCATAGAGCTTTTACTAAAAGATAATAAATCAGCATGAAACTCAAGTACGAACCTCAGGAAATTGGCCATTAGAGATGATTAAGTTTTGTAGATCCCGTTGGTCAGCTGCTTCGTTGTTTAGGGAGGACAACAATTTTGCAGCATTTCTTATCACAGTGGGCGATGAAGCTGTCAATATCAATTTCCGCAATAACTCAGAACGCACAATCTTCGCTCTAAACTTTCCATCACCTTCTTCTTCCTCTTCCTCTTCTTCATTGTGAAGTTGCTGAAGTTGTTTTCCAGCATATAAAATAGCTTGAATAACTGCAATGAACTGTATCATTCAATCATTTAGAAATAGTCAATAGTATAGGCAATATGATGATTCGACGCCAATAATAAAAAACTAAAGTGAACTGTAAATAGTACAAATTAGGAGGCTGCAGGTAGAGTAAGTCGCTACCTCAGTTGGGGTGGTGGTCCGGTGGAAGATTCTTGTTATTCCTCGTTGAATATCAGGTACCCTACCTAAGGTTGTCAAAACTGAAGAAAGTACATGACTAATCTCTGGTCTTATAACCACAGCTAGATCTTCTATATTCTGAGAAGCTTGAGAAGAACCCATGGATTCCCCAATCTCGGACACAGCATCCAGACGAGCAGTAATCATGTTTCTGTCACATAAAGGGTGAGTTACCTGTATCAATCAATGATACTATCAAATACATCAACATTGAAAACTAAAAAAGCATGCAAGATAATCCTAATAACATATGCACGTCATACCCAGTGCCTAAGAAGCCTTGAACCAAATGTAGTGATTGTACGATTCATGGACTGCAGTAAGGAGCCAGACTCAGAACCATCACTATTATTCCGCAAAACCTAAACAAGAGATGGTAAATGAGAAAATATTGATTGAAAAAATTAATGCATCTCTCACAAATCCAGAAAGATAAATTAGAACATCGAATTTGTTAGTAATTTATAGTTAGAGAAGTTGTAGTAAAATGCATTGTGCTTTGGAACAGAATACTATTTCCCATCAACCCAAGATCAAAGCCTGTTAAATCCTGCAAGCCCTTTGTGGACAGGGACGAGTAAAAACAAGAATAGCAATTGGAAGTTCACAAGATCAACATAATGGTTATCATGGAAAATAAAGCTTTTCTAACAAAGGGGTCAAATACCTCTAACTGTTGAAGTGCATTGGCTGGCAGGGTCATCTCGAAGTTGCTTGATAGGGGCCTAAAAGAAGCTCCTAAACAAAGAACTCTTTCAAGACCAAATTGTTTCAGGTAACGGATTGTCAGGGCCAAAGCTTGGACGACCAGATCTGGCATGTCCATGATTACCTTTGAACATTTATAGCAAAATAGAAAAAAAAAATGAAAATACGGTTGAATAATAATTAACATGCTGAAAATCTTAGTCAACTAGTAAAAGCTTATGTTAAAAATTTCTTACCTCAATTGCCAAACGTTGATTTCCCTCTACATTTTGCTTTGAATCATCTTCACCCATATTTTCATACAATGTCATCACTTCGGCAAGCGCACCACCATCCTTGAAGCATTCCCGCGAGCAACGCTCCACGCGGACATGTGAGGCAGGTCCAGCATAGCCAAGCAACAACTAACCACATAGAACCACATTTTCACTCAAAAACCCAATGCAAAACAAAATAAAAACAAAAACGAAATGTTAGACCATGCATGCAAACACCACATTTAGCATTAAATATGTGAAAATGACATTTAATAGGATCCTCCATTTTGCGCTCCAATGCATATTACTATTTCGAATGTTATGTTTACTCGAAAGTAAACTTTCAAATTTTAAATGATTTATAACTGATAACAAGTCAACACATCAATCAATAACAAACCAAATGTGACAATTACTATACTTGATGCGAAATTTGAACAAAACACGCCAAATTTAATAGTATTTGCAGTGTTAGAATAGAATGGAAAAAGATAAATGGTAAATTTTGGCACTAGAGTAGAACTTTGCATTGCATTTTGCAACTAAAAGTTTATACCTTCTCCGTTTGCTTAGAGAGTGGGCAACCAAGAAGCAACTCAGCAGGAGACAAGCTGAAAACGACACTCTCAACCCCACTCCTCAAGAAACCATCACCAAACTCCCCAAAAACGACATCACCAGCCGAAATCTCCACCCCAACAATCCCAACCCTCACGTCACAGTCCGAAACATTCTTCTCCACAACACAAACCAAATAACTACTATCCCCGCCCCACCCCTCTTCCCTTCCTCCGACATCCTCCGCCGCCTCCAACGTCGCCCTCGTGTACAGCGCCGACAGCCCCCGGCAAAACGGGCCCACCCGGTTCGGCCCATGGGCCTTGATCGCCGCCGTCTCGGTCTGCTTAACCACGCCGACCTTGTACCCGGCTCCCACCAGCCTCCTGACGTGGACGCTGAGCCGGAAGGTGGGGACACTCGCGGTCAGGAAGCTGTGGTCCACGTGGGCGTAAATCCCCAAAACTCTCGCCGCGATTTCCGCGTCGTCGCCGAAGAATCGGTACTTGTAACCGACCTCGACCATCAGGAGGACATCCGGGTGTTTCCGCTTGAGTTCCACCACTTGTTGTTCCAGAGGGGTGTACTTGACGGCGGCGCCGTTTTGGGCTTGGGATGGAGGAGGTTTTTCTGGGAGGTTGTGGGTGGGTTCTAGAAGCTTCTGGAGGAATTTCTCGTGGAGGGAAGGAGGAGGGGTGGGAGTGGAGAGCTTGGGGAGTTTGGGGGGTTTGGAAGAAGGTGAGGAGTTGGAGGAGGAGAGGAGGCGTTTGGAAGGTGAGAAAGTGACGGTGGCTGAGATTTTGGGAGGTGGGATTGGGAGAGAAGATAAAGATGAAGATGAAGATGAAGGATTTGAGGGGTTTGATGAAGATGGGGTTTTGGGTTTGGGAGCGAAGAAGCGAGAAATGACCTGTTGCTTCTGCTTTCCCATGGTGACACTGACAATCGCAGTGAAGTTTTTTTGGGCGAGAGAGAAGAGAGAAAGGAGGAGTTTGGCGCGAGAGAAGAAAGTGCTTTCCCATGGTGACACTGGCAATTTGGCGCGCTTTTATATTTCTCTACGAGTTCACCCCCCGATGTTCATTTATGGACCCCGTATGATCACGTCCCTGTAATTGTACCTATATGTGTGTGTATGACTCAAACAACGTTATATTAATCTAAAACTTCAAAAATCTGTTTCAACTGAGAGGAAATTACTTTTAAAGGATCTTTAACCACTTTCATCTCATTTTATAGTGATGGTGAGTTTGATCTATAAAGATTTGTATTTAGTTGTGGTTTTTGCCGTTTAGATTTCACATTTTGTATGTTTTTGTGCGATCTTTTTTGTATTTCATCTCATTTTGTGCGTGTATTTTTTGTTTATAGTGATGTCACTTGTAAATGTCAAATATAGAACATTTAGATGGGTGAAGATCCACGTCCATAACAAATTTATTACGGCATTAATCATAAAAACCTACGCATACACTTGAGGCGGATAGTAATTTAAATAATTTGTCCATTTTAGTGATTTACTTGTCATATAGATCTCGATATTTCTTTACATGTCATATAGATCTCAATATTTCTTTACTTGTCATATAGATCTCGATATTTCTATAAGATCTATTAAATCTACATATTAATTAAGAAGTGCCAAAATTTTTATTAGATCATGTTAAATCTACATACTAAATGATTTGCTAAAAACACCCTTATTATATAGTTTCTTGATGTGTTGACACATATAAACCTATAAATTACAACCCTCGATGGTGGGGATTCCCTTTCTTTCTGTTGCAAGGGAAGCCCAACCTTCGACGCCGACTCCTCATGATGACGACAGATCGTACCGTCGACCTTATGGCAGGAATCCTTCAGGAAGAAATTAATTGCCAAGAAAGACTAATTGGTTGAGTGAACAGTGCGCAAAAGTGATTAGTGGGCTACGGTCTGGGCCTAGAAAGGCAGACCACTTGAGTGCTTTTCTGCCTACAAAGAAAACCCACCCGATGAAAGAAGCTCGGCTATAAAAGGGAAGAAGCCTCATACAGGAAAGGGGTTGGTTTATCCTGAGAGAAAAGAATGAGAGAGCAATTGTTAGTGTAAATTGTAATAATCTCAAAATGAATAGAAAACTACAGTGGATGTAGCTCTTCATTTATAAGAGTGAATCACTATAAATGTTGTGTGTTTTTCTACTTCAAGTATTTCTTCTCGTATTGCTCACTACACAACAAATACCACAAACACTTCACTGCTTATATTAAGTATATAGTCAATATTAAGACGGTAATCCAACGGGATACCTAGTGGTGACCCGGCCTATTTCTGTTGACGAGTTTTTACCGTCAACAATTGGCGACTCCACTAGGGACCGAACCCAGAATCTCTGGTTCATGCGTTTGACCCCCAACAACAACATAGTCATCAAGCATGCCTCCAAGAAGAAGGATTGAGGCCATCAACCAAGGCAGCTAAATGGACGAAACCGCCACGCATCCGGTGAATGACGGGATGGAGGAGGTTCCGCCTCCAGTTAGAAATGAAGTCCCGCCCCCAGACATACCGCAGCCGGACCATGTACAGATGCAGGCCCAACTAACCACTATAACCGACATGGTACGTGGACTAATGGTCGTAGTCGAGCGTTTGGACGAAAGGAACTCTATGCCGCCTCTAGAAGATGCCCCGAGGCCGTCGGGAGCTACCAAGGCCGAAAACCACAACCCTGCCGACCGCCAACATGACCTAGAAGGAGTCGGGGACAGCGAAAACCACAGAAGACATCCTAGGCCTCGACCTGCCCAATCCTCCGGCAGCTGTCTAAGGGCCGTCGGGCTCCGGGCTCCCGAGGACCGGATAGCGAGAGGTCTAGGGAACCCCGAGGTGCTACCCCAGGAGGAAACCCACCGGGAGACTCAGGGTCAGTACAGGTAGGCGGGTAGGGAAGGGGCGGACCTAACGTCCAAAGGGCAAAAGCGTCGAGAGTAGCTGGCTCAGCCATCTCGGCCGAAGAAGTGCGCGCCATTATGGAACGAATGGCCAACCTAGAGCAAAAACTCACGGGCGACGTCGCCGGCCTAAAAAAGAACATAGGGCGAGTGGCCGAGGTAGTAAACGTCGACATCAAGCCTAGCCACACGCACGACCACCCATTTACCGTGGAAATAATGGTGCCATCTCTCCCTGATAAATACAGGTCACTGTTGATCCCACCGTATGACGGTCGAGGAGATCCCGACGATCACTTGGAGATGTACGCAGGGCACATGCTCTTACATGGGTATGCTGAGGAGATTCTGTGCCGAGCCTTCCGGAACCATTTAACGGACTCTGCCCGAAGATGGTTTCGGACGCTGAAGCCAAACTCTATCTCAAGCTGGGATGAGTTGAAGGAAGCGTTTTCCCTCCAGTTCATATGGGCTAAAAAATATGTCCCCCCAAAGTAGAATTTGACAACGATATACCAGAAGCCAAACGAATCGTTGAGGGAGTGGCTTGCAAGATATGGAGAAGCTGTCGCCGCCACGATGGACATAACTGACCGGGAGGCCTTGATGGGGGCATTGTCTAGCATGAAGAAAATAACCCCCTTCAAGAGAGAGGGGAGGAAGAGAAACATGGGGAGAAGAGAAGTTAAAACTCACCCATATTTCCAAACGACACTTGCACCTTCCTTCGGCGGGGCAAGCGGTTGTTGGGATGGAAATTAAAAGGTCCTCGTATCATAAAAAACATGAGTTTCCACCCATGCGACGATGAGGGTATACCCGGTATTAGCTTGCCAAATCTGGGCTGAGATCTCACATGCCCACTCAAAAAGTATCACCCTTCGCACTTTGCGACGTGGCATAACTTAATAACTTATACATAAACATAAACTCGTCCAGCGGCAGATCTGTATCAAACCACTGGCTCTACAAAATCCAGGCACCGGCGAAGCAATACCAAAAATTCGGCGGCAACTGAGCAGGGGAGATGCCATAGAAATGACAATAGTGCTTTACAAAGGGGTGGACCGGTAGGGTCATCCCCGCCGTGACAACCCTAGTATAAACATGAAGGTATCCGGTCGGGGGCATGCTAGTCCTAAAATACATATCCGGAAGGAGGTATTCAAACCATCTCCCATCAATGCAGCCTTCTTTGACAGCCCGGATGATATCTTTGTTCCGGATCCTCGAAGCCACAACATTGGCCGTAAAGAACGGCCTGTCCGGGTCTCCGCTTGTAGCAGCCAGAGGGGCGTCCACCAGTGAAGCAGCGACCCCACATACGCTGCCACCTGTGAAAGGCCTCATACTAATGTCTTCGTCAATTATTCGGCAGACGCTGTCATAATTACCGCTACAGTCGTCGCTTGGGCCGGCCATATGTTCCTCAACTTCTCACAATAGTGAGTCGCAGTCTGAAGAGGAAGATGACCATGAAATCTCTGCCACAGAAAGGGAGTCTAGTCGTACAATAGACGGTTCCTCTCGACGGGTGTTTTTTGGGTCCATTGTTCTGATAATAAAAAGACAAGGAGCTATGTCAAAATCCTAAGTCGAGAGGAAGGAAAAAACGACGACCATTCTAAGTGACGACCATTCTAGACAACGACTGCTGAAATACCTCAAACATAACGTCGACCATTCATATAAAAATGGTAACGATGAACGCTCGTGACAACTGAGGTTCATCAGAACCCAGAAGCCAGAGACTCGCATTCAACTAGAAATCAGGAAAAATTATCCTACGTAGATCGAATAAAGCATAGTAAGTTACTGTCTTCTACATTTCGCATATCAACACATACGTATGATTCACTGGGAAAGCCAGTAAAATCATCTAGCAACGTAAATAAGCAACAATTAAAGCTTACCGATGAGTCAGAGTTTGGAAACCAAGTAGCTTCACAATGCATCGAAGGAAGCAGGAAGCGGGGAGCGCAAGTCGGAGATTCATGAGGAGGAATTCAGGCAGAGTAACGGCAGTTCTAAAAATTTTTGGGAAAGAATGGCTTCGGTTTGAAGAATATTTAAAGGAAAACAGACCCTCGACCCCTGACCGTCAGATAAGGCTCACGGAAATCCAACGGCAGGGGCAGTTTTACCAGATCGAACGACAGCAAAACGAAGGCGAGAAGATGAAAGGATGCGATCCAAGGGCTCATATTCGTCTTTTCAAAATGAAGCCTTACGTCAACATGGGGAAGCGACTGACGCGACGGTTGCGCTCCTTGTGGAAATCCAAAGCACCCAGACCATCATTACAGATTAAGGTTCGGGATCAGTTTCCCACACCCGAAGCACGAAGGTACGACCGAACCTAAGCTCGAGGCTATCTAAAAGAAACCCTCGACCTGAGGGGCAGCTGTTGTGTGAGAAAATGTGGATGACGCGTGAAAAAATAACAGTGTGACACGTGGCCTTGCTTTCCCTCAAAAGGCAACAACCCTCGATGGTGGGGATTCCCTTTCTTTCTACTGCAAGGGAAGCCCAACCTTCGACGCCGACTCCTCATGATGACGACAGGTCGTACCGTCGACCTTACGGCAGGAATCCTTCGGGAAGAAATTAATTGCCAAGAAAGACTAATTAGCTGAGTGAACAGTTGACAAAAGTGATTAGTGGGCTACGGTCTGGGCCTAGAAAGACAGACCACTTGAGTACTTTTTTGCCTACAAAGAAAACCCACCCGACGAAGGAAGCTTGACTATAAAAGGGGAGAAGCCTCATACAGGAAAGGAGTTGGTTTTTCCTGAGAGAAAAGAATGAGAGAGCAATTGTTAGTGTAAATTGTAACAATCTCAAAAGGAATAGAAAACTACAGTGGATGTAGCTCTTCATTTATAAGAGTGAACCACTATAAATGTTATGTGTTTTTCTACTTCAAGTATTTCTTCTCGTATTGCTCACTACACAACAAATACCACAAACACTTCACTACCTATATTAAGTATACAGTCAATATTAAGCCGGTAATCCAAAGGGATACCTAGTGGTGACTTGGCCTATTTCTGTTGATGAGTTTTTACCGTCAACATGTAGTTGTTCGGATGAAGGTTGAGTAGCAACTTGGTCAGATGATCTATCTCTTAATTATAGTTCAGCCAAAGCGATATGAAATACACGTGGACAAAAAAATAAATCATTATTAAAACTCCCAATATAAATGAAGATTGATAAAATAAAAAGTCTTCTATTTTTTTCCCTGCTTTCTTTTGTTAGAAGTAGGGTTGGCAATTCATGTTAACGTGTCAGCCGACACAATTATGGCATGACACGATTAATAAACGTGTCAGAAACCCAAACACAAACACAGAACGCTAATAATACGGTTAACACAATACGGCACGCAAACACAGTTACTAAACGGGCAGTGATAAGTTGACACCAAAAAAATACGTTTATGACCCAACTAGTAAAAATAGTAGAATTTTATATTGTATTCAAAACTAATATTAATTGACTACTTAATATCACTTGTAGTTAAAATCTGACAACTATATAATAAGAAAAACATAAATTCTCTAATTCTCCCTAATAGCCAACACACATAAAAATATCCGAATATCAAACACATGTGTGTGTGTATATATATATATATACACACACACGATACTACTAGATTATCATATATATATATATATATATATATGTTTCAAAACATTAACATTTGAATGTTTAAGTGCATAAAATATAAAATAAATATAGGAAAATGTCTTTTTTGAGATTGAAGGCCTAATTACACTTTAAAAGTTTTCGGTTGCTTTAACCTAGTGGAAAAAGAAAACATTTTATGAAAAAAAAATAAATGAGCTTAATAAACAGGCGGGCCGTGTCGTATTGTGTCGGCCCGATGATGGCCCGTATAATTAAACGGGTTAAGCATGTTAAACAGGCCGGCACGAATCCAGCTCATTTATTTTTGTATTACTCGTGCCAGCTTGTTAACGACTCAATTAATAATTGTGCGATCCAAACTCATTTATCTCGTGTCATTTTCGTATTATTTTATCGTGTCGTATTCAAAATTACCAGCGAAGAGAGTACATTAGAGAGAGAGAGAGAGAGAGAGAGAGAGAGAGAGAGAGAGGGTTCAAAACCAGCAGCGATAAAAAAAAATCTAATTGAATATGTGGAGCCTAATTTGCACTAACCCTCGCATATTTTCCCTTCTTTATTTACGTAACAAATCCAGTCACAGACTCACAAGGGAAGCTTTTATTTTTCTCATGTCATATATCTGGGTGTGCTTAATTAGATGCCTTTTCTTCTCAATAATTAAAAGTAGTTTGAAGGGTGGGAATCTTCTCTAGCAAATTATTTTAGAGGCGATACTGATCAACTTTCAGTTTATCACGTATAAAAATGGTCAATTTTTCAGCATCTTCTTGAAATGTCAGTGATTCTTGCACCATCAATTGAATTAGGAAGAAATATGAAACAAGTACAACAACAAAATTGGCAAAAAAAAAAACTGTCACAGTGTAAGGGACCGTGTAGTACAACTAACTGATTATGATATTCCATATTTATATATATATATATATATATATATTAATACAAGATTGGATCGAACCCTTGTCCTAAATTCCTCCCCACCAGATTCTTTAGATCATGATAGTCCTTTGATAATTGCAAACATTGTCATTGAGATCCTCTTGGGGTTAATTTGAGCGGAATGAACTATATATCTTCAAAAAAATTATGACACAACCAAATTATCAAATAAACTGGTTTGAACCCTTTTTTTTTTTTTTTTCCTCCTGATCTGAAACTGGTTTGGACTTCTCAATCCTTCTTTGGCTAGTTCACTTGGATATATTGTTTAATTTGGCAAAGGCATTTATACCATTGAATACATCTGACCAAACGAGAGGATTCCAAATCTCCTAGTGATCCATTAATGGGGTATGCGGGACCTGCTGAAATCGCATTCACGATAAGAACCAAATGCATGAGTCATCCTCAATCTGTCTGACCTCCTTTACGTTATAAAAGCCTTATCCAAATAGACCTCTCAGTGACATCATACATCTCATCTGTGCTCGAGAAAAATGCTAAATATTATTACCGGTGATCATCACTAATAATTTTTTTCAACCGGTCAGATATTGACATGTGAGTATGCGATCTTGTATTATAATAAGTGGATTCTAAAATTAATATATGAATTTGTGGTTAGTTAAAAAGGTGTTGTGATGATCACTAATGTTGATAATATGAAAAATTATATGGACCTCTAACATAAAATTACATCTTAACTCGAATTAGTGAACTAAACGGACCCGTTGAAAAGGTGTAGTGAGCATCATCGACAGTATAACATCGCTCTTTATTCAAATGCATGTGTCGGAGAATTGGAAGAATAAGGACAAGTGGGGTTTCGGATCATGAGGAATACGCAAACTGTAAAACATACTTTCTTTTTCTCTTTAATATTGGCTGGAATAACAATAAGGGGGGGCCCGTGGGTTTTCATTTCCATGGCACCAATAAGTAAAGGTTTATACTCTACAAAAACAAGCAAGCAAATGCACAATAATTTCATAAACTAAAACGACTCTTCCTTAAATAAATTCTCTTAGAACAAACGGCCGGTGAAGTTATGGAGATTCAGCGGCAAAATGATCGCACAATTCTACCGCTTATAAAGATTAATAATGATTGAATGCAAGAGAAGAAGAACATTGTTCCCTCTTTAGACATTTCAGGACAGATATACAGTTTGTCCTTCCATTATTGAATTTCCCAAACCCTATCCCATAATATGCACATTTTGTGATTAGCTCGCCTTTCTTTTCAAAACTGCCGTTTTGGTCCTTTTGTGCTTGTTGATGGATCAATCATTTCACATCAACTTGGACTCAAATCTTTTGATCTCTTTTTCTATATATTGAAAGGGCTTATAAATCTCATTCTAACGCAATAGAAGAAGTCATAAGAGTGATTTAGAGATTTTCCTTTGTTACTCTTGTTAGAGATTGAAGTCGCTATTAAGTCTAGTTTTTTCGCGCATTTGAGTTGAAAATTTGACCTAAAAATTTTTTTTTATAAGAGAAAACATTGTAGTAAACGGATTGAATTGTGTTTGTACACTTTGCAAAACTTTTTTTTTTTAATGGTTAAATTCTTCATGTGATGCTTGGATATGTTGGAAGCATCTCATCAAAGTTAAGGGTGAGGCCAATTAGGTGGGGGAAAAAAGTAGAGGGAGGGACAAAAGGCTTTGCTTAAACCACGTATGGAAGAGGGAGACAACAGCCTGTCTCCACACGCCATCGGCCATTTCATGAACCAAAGTTGAGGCACAAAAGCAACCAACAATTCTCTTTTGCATCTTCACCACTTGAATATTTATACACATTATTTAAGTCGCACAATTAAATTTTCAAAGTCAAATATATGAAGTACCATAATATTTCTCAAAAAAAAAATATAAATAAAATGAAGTACCATAAATGCTCATTTCACTCTAGGAAATGTTAAACTTGATGATTTTAAGGGGGGCAAAAGGCAAATATAAAAATTTAAATAATTAGTTTTATTCATGAATAATTATTACTAAACGATAATTATTGCGATGCACACATGTATTAATAAAGAAGAAATATGACACTGTAAAAAGTAATACAAGTGATCAGTCCGATCCTGTTATGTGATAGTTTTAACTAATTTCTATACGTGATTATTGCCTTTAAAAAAAAAAGTGATTATTGCATTACTAATTATGATATATAATATTTTTATAACTAAACTCTTTATTAAGATTTGATCCCATTAGCTATATTGCAATTTTAAGCAATAGAAGAAAAGAGGTTAAGGGTTATAATTTTTTTTTTTTTTTAAATTGATGGGACAAAAATAACATATACATATACTAAATAAGCAATAAAAATGTCAAAATGGATTTTATAGAATCTTAGTGGGGCTTTGATAAAGTTTTGAATTTGAAAAAGAAGGCGTAGTGCGACTTTAAGTAGAAACATGGCCAAACCTCTTTAATAAAAAAATAAATAAAATAAAAATCGCCTAAAACATTTTCTATAAAACATCAGAAAGGCAGGTTTATAAAACATAAGGTAACAGTAGCATGCATGAAATTATGGTGGAGGGACGATGGCATTATGGTAATTTAGAGCAAGAAGAAGAACAAATTCTGAAAATAGAATCTTATCCAGGATTCAAATAAGAGAAATAGATTGACAGTAACTATGTTATTTATCTACATCACATAGACAGAGAGGGAAACCGAAAGGCAGGTTTATGGGAGCCTTTCATTAGTTGGTTGGGAACCCCCAAAACCTCCAACAACACCAAATACTTCTTCTCCTTCACCTCTTATGAATGGGAAATGAAAAATCTCTCCTCCAACGTTACAGAGAGAACAGAAAGAAGAAAAGGTGAAGAAGAACAAGAAAACACAGAAGAACGTGAACGGTTAGAGAATAACCGATTCGAAGATCAAGACGAAACGACCGAAAGAGCTCGCTGCGAGTGGGATTTCCACCTCCGAACCGTCGTCTCCTCCGCCACTGCCGCCTCCGACGCGCTCGGCGTCATCGAATTCGGCCCGTCTGGTGAGCTGCTCGCCACCGGCGGAATCGCCAGGAAGATAAGAATCTACCGATTCAGCTCCCTTGTGGCAGCCGCCTCCGACGCCGACGGCGGCGGCGGCGACGTGGCGCTTCTTGACCACGCCAGTGCGTACGACTACTACATCTGCACGCCGGCGAAGCTCAGCAGCCTCCGGTGGCGCCCCGGGGCGGGAGGAAGGATTATCGGCTCCGGAGACTACGACGGCGTGGTGACGGAGTACGACCTCGAGAGGAGGACGCCGGTGTTCGAGCGGGACGAGCACGGGGGGCGGCGCGTATGGAGCGTGGACTACTCTCATTGGGAGGGTTGTTCGGTTATGGCCGCGTCGGGGTCGGACGACGGGACCATGCAAATGTGGGACCCGCGGTGCGACGGCGGGGAGTGCGTGGCTACGGTTCGGCCCAGCGCAACGAAGACCTCATCCGTCTGCTGCGTGGAGTTTAACCCCTTCGGCGGGCCATTGGTGGCCGTCGGATGCGCTGACCGAAAGGCGTACGGCTACGATGTGCGGAAGCTCTCCGATCCGGTCCTTATCCTCGACGGCCACCAGAAAACGGTGACGTATGTTCGCTTTCTTGATGACCGTACGATGGTGTCTTCAGGCACGGACGGGTGTTTGAAGTTATGGAATATAGATGACGCACGTGCGGTGCGCACGTACAAGGGCCACGTGAATAATCGGAGCTTCGTCGGGCTATCCGTTTGGAGAAAAGGCGGGTTGCTCGGATGCGGGTCGGAGAATAACCAGGTATTTGTGTATGATAAGAGGTGGGGCGAGCCCATTTGGGTCCGCGGGTTTGAGCCGACGGGTGAGTCCGGGTGTGAGAGAGGATTCGTGAGCAGTGTGTGTTGGAGGCAAGTGGGAGAGGAGGATGAGTGCACCCTAGTGGCGGGCGGGTCGGATGGGGCTTTGCAGGTTTTTGTGGGCACAAGGAAGCCATCCTGATCTTCTAATTCGTATTATTACGCAAATGACTGCTTCTACATTCTCCTCAATTTCCTACACAAATGCATCGTAAGAGTAAAGGTATGAGAAGTTCAGAACTTTAATCGGACAATATTATAGTTTATAAACAATTTTAGCCAAAATATGGGGAGCTTAAAGGGGAAGAGGAATTAGATTAGAGGCCATTTGATTTTGTATTTTTTTTTTTTCTTTTTGAAGTTATAGAATTTACTGCTGACAGTTGTTTACATGAGACATCAAGTGAATTAATCTGATATAGATTCATAATTGATATATGTGATTTTGTTTTCTTACAAGTTCTTGGAAATAATGTTTTCAAGCTAAGCACCTTAGTTTCATTATTTAACCTTCTGCTGTGTGACAGCGCAAAGTACCTCATTATTATTGGATAATATCTCATTATTACTATCTAATTAAAAAGAAAAAAAGGAAAAACTACTAGAGGGAGGAAATCTTATGCTTTTCACCGTTGAAAAATAGCGATAGGGTTAAAAACGCACACTCATAAAGTGATGAGTCTCATTAAGTTAGGTTCTACTTATGTATCTAATGAGACCCACCTCATGTGAGTAATGAAATTTTAACTCCATCAAGATGAATAAGGATGCTCATGATCGGTAAGAAAGCAATGTTGGCATGTCTTTTTTTTTTTTTTTTTTTGCTTTTTATAGAAAAAGTTAGCCTGTTAATTAATCTAAGAGGGTGTTTAGTAGATGGATCCAGAATCATTATTATGAATCATGATTCAGAATTAATGTTTGTTTGCAGTGAACCTGAATCGTGATTCAGAATTAGTGTTTAATTTAGATGATTCAGAATCTGATGTGTTTTTAACCATAATCACTCATGATTCTAAAACCACATCCTTCTTGATTTAAGGTTATTCAAACCCCTGATTCTGAATCATATTTTCAGAATTATGATTTGAACCTAAAATCATGAATCATGATTCTAGTTTCAAAATCATAACTAGAATCACTCTTATTTGAATTCTCGTACTAAACGAATTCTAAAAATGTGTAGAGAGAAACAATTGGTTTTAGCTTGCATTCATTGACAGGAAAGACGGGAATCATTCATAGCACAAAGAAATGTGCGTTCATTTCGTGAAAAGAACTAATAACGAGTTTTTTTTTTCCTTTTATTTCTTTCAATTTTGGTCTACGAACGAATAACAAGGGGCATATCTTGGTGATCCCTGGTTCCGCGGAATGACTATCCATTTTTACGATCTAGGCATTTGCTAATTAGTGAGGTTTTGATTTTAAAAGAAGAGAAAAATAAAGCTTAATAATTTTAGTAGAAAATTATGACAGTATTTTGTTTGGTAATACTTCAGGTTTTGGCTTTTCATTTCATAAAACAAATAAGACAAACAGTGGCAGCAGGATTAACATGACGTCCAAGGCGAAGGTAAATAATTAACGGAGGGTCCCATGCAAACCCTTTATAACCTCACGTAAAATGTTCCTTATCCCTTTTGGCTAAAAGGGTGGAGGGCAAAACGTTTATTTTTGTCAATTAAAACACATCCATATTTTATTTAAGTTTTCTTTTTTTTTTAGTTTCATTTTATTCTTTCATATCATCTTGTCTCGTCATAAAATATCAGGCACATTAATGAAATGAAAAGACTCAATTCTACTTGAACAATAGTCTTAATTTTGCTTACACTAACAATAATTGATGGGCAAGACTTTTAATTGTGAATAAGTAGAGCCGTAAGTTTTGGCCGCCCAAGACCCCCACAGTTGGCCTAGGCTTATCCTATTCTCCGAATCGAGACATGCCAAAGTTTAGAGCTCAATAGTTTATTCGGACCGGGTCGGGCGCCTTCTAATCTAATTTTTTAAAATGCCTTATAAAATTTCAGACTGAATTTAACTGGGTCATTCCTTTCTTATTTTGAATCAGCCTAATCCAATCTGAAATTTCTGGGCGGCCAGGTCTAAGCCGAACAACCGAACTTTCACCTCTATAATCAAGGTAAATTCTAAAAATGCTTTTTAAAAAAAAAAAAAAAGGTACATTCTAAAAAGAAGAGAAAAAAAAATATGTTCTTATTAGTGTCACTCTATTGGTTCTTTAATTGATAATATATTTATTTGGGCAGGAAGTGGATTACTATTTTTTGAAAAAATAATAATAATAATAAGGTGACAAATAATGACTAATGATCTACCTCATTACAAGTGGGGAATCCAAACAAAATTAAAATATAGATGGCAACTCCTCAGGCCGCGAAATCGTGTGCTTAATAATTCTCATATTAGGCGAATGCAAAAGTTGTCTCAAGTATTTAATCATGTAGCGTGTTTAAAACTGTACGTCTGTACCAATAAAAAGACACGGCTACCTCTTAAAGGACGAATAATACATGGCTAAAGAAAAACAATGACCCAAAAAATAATATAAGGAAAATTTTTAATATATATCTATATAGTACTAATTTAAAAGAAAAAAAAAAACCTATGAGCCACGACGGATCCAGCCTTCAGCTTTATCGGTGGTGTACTAATTATTATTATTTTCTTTTAATGAGAGAAACCCACCTGTGCATTACGTGCTAAATAATGTAACATATTTGAATTTGGTCTTCATTACTATTGGTTTTCAAAATAAATGTGCAAATTTTCAAAAAAAAAAAAAAAAAAAACTCGGATCAAGTTGTAACTAATCGATAAGAAAAATTCAAGGTGCAACAATGCAAATAAAAATAATAATAAAAAAGACAGTTGTTTTTTAAGGCCTTTTTATCATTAACACTTTTTGGACTTATCGTGTTTTAGCAATTTAATCCTTTAAAATATTTTTTGAAAATTAATTCTTTGGAGTTCATATTCTTGGTATAGCTACTCCCAATTGGAATGACCCTCCGTTGTAGCAAAACGAATGCCCATCGCAACCTATGCGACTTTTACGTCTAATTATAGTTCAAACAGTGGGTGTTATGACATATCTAAGAAAAATTGAGTGAGTAGGATTATTTTCTATTATTTATAAGATTTTGTTGGTTTTGTATAAAAGAAGCCCAATTCAAGTTGTTCAAGCAAAAAAACATTAGGAGACGTTTGGTTCATGTATTAGAATCATGTGATTATAACTATTTTTAATTTACGTGTATTTTTTGTGAGAAAAAATATTGTAACGAACTATTAACCATGATTCAAATCATTGTTTGAATCCTCTAACCAAATATTTCCTGAGTTTCTCGACTAATTTTAACTTGATTTGGATCATATCTGACCTCTAAGCACATGCATTGAACAGGTATGAGGTAAGGATACCTTATTGTAGAAAGTTCCTTGCAAATATGAAACAATTTCTTAAAAAAAAAAAAAAAAAAATCTTAGGGTATTTTGTAGATTTACTCCCTGAACTTGTATAATTTTAGCAATTTACCTCATAAATTTTTAATTTTGACAAGTTGCCCCCTCAATTTGTAAATTTGTTGTAATATGCCTCATTTTAACAATTATTGTGTTAAATTAATGCTGAAAAAACACGTTTGACAAAAAATTTCAACATCCCAATTCAAATGTGACATAAATCTTTTAGTTTCTCAACTTTTAATCCCTTAAATCTAATAAAAAATTTGAGTAAATTTAGTAAAATGGAGCATATTGCAACATTTTTACAAGTTTGTGGGATTGATTGCCAAAATTAAAATTTTAAAGGACAATTTATTAAACCACGATAAGTTTGAAGGCCAATTGTGCTAAAAATCCAAAATCTAAAGTTCAATGTGCACATGTTTGGGAATACAAACTTTAGTGAGGGCAACATCAAACTTTTTTTTTTTTGGTGGCACGGCTGCCCTCGCTTGCCCTAGTTGAAATAGTTTCACCTAGAGGTGAACATCGGGTGGGTTGAGTGGGTTTTTGAGATTTTTCAACCCACCCAATTAAGTGTGGGTGAGTTGGTTTCAAATTTAACCTACCTAATCAACCCACTCAATTAAAATTTAGGTGGATTGATAGGGTTAAATATAATAAATAAATAAATAAAATTAATCATTCAACCCAAAATAAGATATGTATAAAAAGAAAGTTAATTTTCATCATAGTATTAACCTTATAAAGCTCCAAAATTATCACATAAGTTATAAACCAATATAAAAATAAAATATATGTAAAAAAAGTTCAAATATATAAGTTGTAAACCAACAAACAACAATAATAAAAACCCATACAACATAAAAGATAATAGGTTGTAAGTAAATAATGTAAAATATGAGACAAAAACTATATATTATAAGGTAAGAAAATATTTATTTATATGGATAAATAGATTGGGTGAGTTCGGGTTGATTTGGGTTAAGAAAAACTCAACCCAAACCCACCCAATTTATAGTCGAATTGGGTGGGTTGGGTTGAACTCTTGATCGAATTAGTCAGGTTTGGGTTAAAATGGGTTGGGTTGGTTAGGTTAATCGGGTTTGTCGGGTTGTTGGGTTTTTTATTCACCCATAGTTTCACCATTACTTATCAGTGTTATGTTATTTTGCACGGTTGGATTTTCATCAAATTAGTACAAAAATTTTAGTTATAATATTGATTGGAAAAATAAAAATGAAAAATAGTATTCAAGAGTGTAAAACATATATTTATACTACTCAAGAATAAACAATTGTCATTTATAAAAAGAAAATAAAAGACTACAATAAAATTCAATTATTTAAAATAACATAAATAATAAATTTGAATAAAATTATGACAAACCATATACTTTTTCATATTTATTTTGATTTAAATGTGACCCAACTATCCAACATTGGACAATATTGATATAGTAAATTTTTGAGAAAAGTACATAGTTTTTCATGATTTTATGAAAATTTATTATTTATGTAATTCTAAATAATTGAGTTCTATTATGATCTTTTATTTTTTTTATTATTAATTGAATGATAATTGTTTATTTTTTTAAGAAACTGGTATAATAATATGTTTTTGAGAATATTGCTAAACTTATATTTAATATTTAGAGCACACACGTCTGAAATTTTACCCCTTACTTTTGAGTTATATTTTTTGATTTTTTTTTTCTCAATATTTGGTACATTATAGCAAAATCCTCCATAGTTTAATAAGCTCAACAACTAAAGGTAATGATCACCGTTCGACTGGCTATTTTAGACCTTAAAATTAAATTAATCTAATACAACGGTGAAGAAGGGGGTTATGCTATGAATTTATCTGTCAACAAAAACCCCCTCTACATTTAGTAAATTGCAAAACCACCCCAATTGGGTTTTGAGTCCTTCACTTGGCCGACTCGGTTTTTCCCTTTTGCACCCCCTCTCCCTCCCGCAGTCCCGCCGAACACTCGACACAATTTCAGGTTCAGGAGGAGAGAGAAAGCAAAAATCGAGCTCTAGAGAGAGAAAGAGAGAAGAGAGATGGTGACGTCGTCGGTGGTGAACACGTATCCACTGTCGAGCTATACCTTCGGGACCAAAGAGCCCAAGATGGAGAAGGACACCTCTGTTGCTGATCGCCTTGCTCGCATGAAAGTCAAGTATAGATTTTTTCCCCCATATTTTCATATTTTTTAGTGTTAATAGTTCTTCAGATTGTTTCAAAAAGATTTCTTTTTGGTTACAAAAGTCGACATCTTTCGTTGTTTCTAAAGCCCTAGAAGGGTTTATGAGGTCTTGTTTACGAATTACGATCCCTGAGCTCTGGTTTTTGATTTTTTCCCCCTTTTGGTGTTCACTTGGCAGCTATATGAAAGAGGGAATGAGGACGAGCGTCGAAGCAATTTTACTGGTACGTCAATTTCATTTTTCCCCCTTTTTGTAGAAATTTTGTTGTTCTGATTTCAATTTCATGATCTGGTTTATGATCTTTTTATTTTAATGCTTTAGTTAGTATAGTTGATTAGAAAACCAAAAATTTAACCTCAAATTGCAGGGACTTAAATTATTGTGATGATTAGACTACATAACTTGGTTTCTACAAGTCAGGGCCTCCATAATGCTTTGAAAGTTTATAGATAGATCCATATTGATATTTAGCAAAGAACCATTGTGCCTTTGGTGTGTTGGTTTCAAAACCCATTAGGTAGAATACACCCTTGAAAACTGTCTTGTAAGATGATAAACCCTTTAATTATCTTATACTTAATACCTGTAAGACTTTTTTGGTGCTTTATATTCCACCACGCTTTGCATCCCATCGTCCAATGTGACCCATCTTTTCAACGAGGTGACTTCACAAATCCCGCTTTCTATTGGGTAGCAACCCCAGGTCGCCCCATCAATGACAATGGTCACAGAAACGATCCCATTGTTGACATGGTGGTTTTTAACAATTCACCACACTTGGGCTCAAATCAACGACGATCCATAATATTGACATTGGCCTATTTGTAGCCTTCTCCTCCTTTAGTGACTCAACTGGAGACTCGACCAACGGTATTTGACGAGAAAGTATGCGTCCATACATCATACCAAGATGCCTTAATCTAACCTAAACACAATTGCTTTGAATTGAACCCGTGGCATTGTGAACTAGTTTTGAAACCAATTGTTTTGAACCCATTGGGTAGAACTCACCCTTGAAAACTGGCTTGGAAGGATAAAGGGACCTCAGGTTTCATAAACCCCCTTAATCTTATTTTGAACCCACGTAGGATATTTTATTTATTCATTCATTTGCTTTTTGGTACGTAAGAATCTCATCCATATTAGGGAGTTTAACCATAACCTATTCTTGTTACAAGCTCGTAGTATGCTCTTAGTAAAAAAGCAGTAGTTTGGTTGAAATGGACAATAGAGAAGCATATAGGGTTTTAAGAATGCTTTGTGACACTTGATATCATATGTTGGCTGATCATTTTGGATAGAAACGTTTTACTCTGGTAATGTTTTGTTGATGAACAAAACTAACCATCAGCCCACTTGTTTTACACTAGTCATGTTTTGTTGATGGACAAAATTAATTTAAGGTACATGTTTCAAAAATTTTCCTTCTTTCTCCATGCTCAATACTTGCCTTGACCTTGTAGGTACAAGAACATAACCATCCCCACATTCTTCTGCTACAAATCGGAAACACATTTTGCAAACTTCCTGGTGGCCGTTTGAAGCCAGGAGAGAATGGTATAATCTTACTTTTCTATTGTTATATTGTTGTGTGAAATTTCCTTCTTTATAAAGCAAAAGATGATTTCTTGCACTTTCTTCATTTTGGGGGTCTCTTTATGTTGCAGAAATTGAAGGCTTGAAAAGGAAGCTGACCAGCAAGCTTGGTGCCAATTCACCCGCTCTTGTGCCAGATTGGCAGGTATTGTTACACTCTTTTATCTCGTGTGCCAAATCAGTGGTTGGAGGCTGTCCTTTCCACGACCTTAGGAGTGCTTGTGGTCTCCGAATTTTACTTTTGTTTGTAAATTTTTTTGATACTTGTTATTTTTCCTGGCATCTTCTTGCAGATAGGTGAGTGCGTGGCTATCTGGTGGAGGCCAAACTTTGAAACTATAATGTACCCGTACTGTCCTCCCCACATAACGAAACCTAAGGTAATTGCTAATCGAAGATCATATCATGGGATACTTTACATGGTTTTTTGCTTTTATGTTAAGCAAGCTAATCTGTTATGCGTTAAGCTGAATTAGTTAGGAAGCTGTGAATTACGGAAACTGTTATAATTCTGTTATAAGTGCTCTTATGTAAAAGCTCAGCACAGCTTGTATGTAATTAGATTTAATATAAATACAAAGTCTCAGATACTCTCAAGTATCGAGAGCTCATTTTACAAAATTATTTCTCTCTAGCCAGACTTTCTCTCTCTAAAACCAAACACTCTGAGTTTAATCTTTTTGTGTCATGCAACTGTCCCTATCCTTACTTTTTATGCTAAGATTGTAAAATGATGTTTTATTTTCCAAAATTTTGTTGTGTAGGAGTGTAAGAAGCTCTTCCTTGTTCACTTATCCGAAAGAGAGTACTTTGCAGTTCCAAAAAATTTGAAACTTCTTGCTGTTCCATTGTTCGAGCTCTATGATAATGTTCAGGTATGGTGATATGTGAATGATAAGAGCCAAGAAAAGATTATTATTGAAAACAAGAACTAGACTCGATTACAAGATAGATTTGCAGACTTTCGAGAGATCTGCTAGCTCTCCCAAGAGTTTCCTCAGTTTACTCTAATCAATCCCTAATCCCCCCCCCCCCCCAAATGTTAGTACCTCTTTTTATATTACTAATACCCCTCTAACAAACTGTACTAATATCCCTCTAACAAACTGTACTAATACCCCTCTAACAAACTGCTGACAGTTAGTAATACTAATACCCCTCTAACAAACTGTTGACAGCTATGACTACACTATAACAACTTTTACCATCAAACTAACTACCTAAGACCATCATTAACGAGTCCTATCATTACTCCCCCGGCAAAAACACCTTGTCCTCAAGGTGTTGATTAGGTAATTGCACTTGAATGATGCCATCTTCTTCCCATTTCAATGCACGTCAACCTTGGAACGTCAAAGGTAGCAGCAATTCCAAGTCTGCCCTTTGTGAAATTCCCAATTCCAATTCCTATCACGCCAATTCCTTTCAACCCCCCTTATACCACCCCGCTCTTTGTAGATCCAAAATCGGATCGAAATAAGAAGACCCAGTCCAAATGTCACTGGAATTGTCCTTAATCACGTTGGAAGTGTGCAGCCCAGCTTTAACGGCATCGGAACCAACCCAAATCACGCCGGATTTGAGAAACCCAGCCCTTGGCTCGCCGGAATATGCCCTAATCGCACCATAATCACGAAGCCCAGCCCCAATTGCGCGGAAATCAGCCCCAATCGCGCCAGAATCACGGCACCCAGTCCAAATCCGGCCGGTATTTCGGAACACAGCCCAAATCTTGCTGGAACTCACGCCGCATATCCCTGACCCAGCCGCAATCACGCTGGAATTCCAAGACCCAATCCTAATTGCTCCAAAATCATCCCTCATGACACTTGGATTCCAAGTCCCAGCCCTCCCATCGAGAGACCCAGCCCCCAAATCGCCAGAATTGATCTTAATCGCGTCAAAAATGCAAATCCCAGCCTTCATGGCGTCAACACTAGCCCCAAGTAAACCGGAATTGTGAATCTCATCGTTGACAGTGCTTGATTCCATCCAAACTCCACGCAAATCTTCTGGGTCAGTCATCGGATCGTCGTTTTCCCCCTCTGTTGGTGAACACCACAGACACAAATTCAGCTTCTTGAGTTGTTGCACTCAGATCTAATCGCAGATCGTAACAGACCAGTTCGCAACTCATATGGCGTTGATCGTTGGCAGTGTTCATCGGGTTCTGATCGCGTTTCCTCTAGCGTCGCTTGTCGGATTCGATCTCCCAGATTTGGTCGCGAACCGTCAAAAACCCCAAGATTTGAAATTCTAGGATCTGAAAACCTAGATTTTGACTCCAGATTTTGCTCCACGTTTTGAACCATGGCTTCAACCTTCGCAACAGAACAGTTTCCCTTTGCTGGTTGGAAACATTGAAACAAATGCGTCTTAAAAGCACTCCAACAAACGAATGGCCGCCTTCTATCCTCCCATTGAAACCACTGAAGAGCTTTACCTTCCATGAACTCCCCAATGAACATTACTTTTTCTTGCTCTGAAAATCGATTTTTCAAGAAATATTCTTCTACTCTTGCTATCCACGCATCCGGATCTTCTCTGGAAAACATTGGCTTCTCTAATTGCTGCCAACATCCATATGTTCCCCCCATCTCCGAATTTCGCCCAAGAAAGTGCTCTGATACCACTTGATAAGAACCAAGAAAAGATTATTATTGAAAACAAGAACTAGACTCAATTCTATGAGGTCTGCTAGCTCTCCCAAGAGTTTCCCCAATTCTCTAATCAATCCCTAATCCCCCCCAAATGTTAGTACCTCTTTTTATATTACTAATACCCCTCTAACAAACTGTACTAATACCCCTCTAACAAACTATTGACAGTTAGTAATATTAATACCCCTCTAACAAACTGTTGACAGCTATTACTGCACTATAATAACTTCTACCATCAAACTAATTACCCAAGACCATCATTAACGAGTCCCTATCAGTGAATCATTCTGTTTGCATTTATTGTAGAAGTATGTTTGTGTTGATGTATTAAACTGCATAACTGATGGGAGGTTTCCCATGGTCAGAAATGATGAGAATTATGATTCTATATCAAATTGTCTAAGAGTTTTAAGGAATTGGTTGGTCTTTATTGGGTACTCGACCTATTTATGTTTCTCTTTATCAAAGTTTGTCTTTCTTCCACGAGACCGTGACAAATGACGGACGTAAATTATCAAAATTTCTATGATCATGATGATTTGTCAACTTGTCATCTTATCTTCTTTTTGAGGAAAACTTGTCATCTTAATCTTAAGATACAGAAATGAGCTTTTATCCCTCTCCCTAGTTTTACCAATACCATTTTTTTTGTATTATATAATATATATATATATATATTTTATTTGGTACAATGTAGTTTGGTTTTCTGTATCTAATGGTAATACATGTGATTTTGTCAGAGATACGGACCGGTTATTTCCACCATTCCACAGCAGCTTTCCAGATTCCAATTCAATATGATTACTACATGAATAGCATGTCTTTACTCTTCAGAAGTCACCTGACAGCACTAAGTTTACCGAGGTTCATACACCTTAATATTAGTTTGCGGATGGCTAAAGCTCATACTTGGATTTTAATTTATAACTCGACTCTTAGATAAGTTTTTGAGGATTCTTCAATTATATAGATGGCTGAACCTTATCTTCTGATGTGGTTCATCCATTCTATCTTTGATTTGATTATTGAGAATGTTGGTTAGTGTCTTTTGTTAGTTTTGGAACCTTTTTCTTCTAGTATAAATTATGTGGAAGTTTTCGGAGTTGTTAAATCTTAGATTTAAGATCTTTTGCTATTTAAACGTTTGCTTCTTTCAGAGAAGCAGAAAATAGTCCGTCATATTCTGTTTCTGCGGAGCTTATTATGCTTCAATGTAATGATGTTGTAATTTCAATGGTGTTACCAGACGAGATAAATCTAACAAGCCATGGTCTTCCTTATAGTTTTACTGGAATACCATTTTTTGTGTAACGAGGCAAAATTTGTGTTCTGCCTAGGCACACTATCCGATCAAAGTACAATTTGAACGGTCCAAATGTTTTGAAAAGTGTCTTTGAGATTTAAAACATTATGAAAATTTAATTTGTTTCTCGAATTTTTCCACCACATGTTTGATCAATGCTCAAGATTCCCTCACTCATTCTCTTCGGATGAAAAACATCATCTCGATCTCCTCAAGAAGTATAAAATATTGGCAGGTGGGTCCCAGTGACGAAGTTGGTGGGAAAACAGATGTTAAGTGATTGAGGTCTCGTTCATTTCACCGATTTGAGTTTAGAATTTGAGTTTTGTTACAGTAAAAAACTCTTAAAAATAGTCACATTTAATTTTTTTCGTTACAGTAAAAATTTTTTATATAAAGTCATATTTTAACTCGAATTAAAAATTTGAATCAGTGAACTAAACAGGCTGTGAAATTAGCTATTAAAATGTTTGAAAAAAAAAATCAGCCAATAGCAAAAAAGAAAAATATCAAATAAGACAAAACTTTAAAGCGACTTGTGTATAATAGGAGGGCAAAAAAAAAAAAAAAAGGAAGTAAAAGGTGTCGGATACGGATTGTAATATGAGTTGTAAGATAATGGATAGTACTTTAAGGCTTTGAATTGATTTTTGAATTGATTTTTTCTTTTTGGGGCATTTAAGGCAGGATAACGTTTGAAATTAAAGAAATAAATAAAAAAGAAACAAAGATCGTATATTTTGGTATGTTTATTACATCGAGTATAAGATAATATCAGTTTCAATAATCAAATTAGCGAAACCAAGATCCGAGATCCTATTGGTAGGATTCTATCGTCAACTCCATTTCTCTATTGTAATTGACTCAATTAATATTCATTAAGGGCCTGTTTAGTTCGCTGATTCGAGTTGAGATGTGATTTTATGTGAGAACTTTTTACTGTAACAAAAAAGTTAGATGTGACTGTTTCTGAGAGCTTTTTACTGTAGCAAAACTCGAATTCTAAACTCGAATCGGTGAAGTGAACAGAGCCTAAGCTTACTAATAAAACATTAATGATAAGGCAGAGAAAACTAAATCGTAACAACAAAGATCTCTGTGTTGTGTTTTAATTACATGAAAGCGTTGAAGAAAAGAGATAATTGGTGAATTCATCATGTGAATGCATTGTTCTAAGATTTCTACTTTTTACTCTTGATTAATACATTTTTAACTGATATAGTTTTTAACTAAATGGTATTTATTGACGGTAGAAATTCATCAACAAGAATATAGTAAATTGAAAGATGAATAACATGATTTTTAGTGATCTAAAAAGCAATTAAGAAAGATTAGGAATAATCAGGAAATAAGAACACACAAATTTATAGTGGTTCACCTTTTCTTCAAGAGCTACGTCCATTATGAAGAGAGAAATTCACTATGTTCTAGAAAATATCATTGCAAAATATCTTTCTAGACTTGTTCCTTCTACATATATACCCCCATGTAATCTCTGTAACTTTCCTTATTTTATTCTAAGATATTTGTCCCAATATTTTGGGATAATATTCCCGGTTGGTTGGGATTTCTGCCAATCATCAGGATTTTCTCACTTCCCCACTTACTTCGCTTATTTTAATTATAAGTCACAAATCTCGGGACAGGCCCTGTATCTCTCTCGATCTGCGTGGATTTGACTTCTTAGGCGCTCTCTTAGCCATCTCCGCTTACAACTGTTAGTGCGATCGACTTCCTGTTTTCATCGATCCCTCGGAGCGATCGACTGCCTTTGTACATTTTCTGCTTTACTTGCGTTCTACTCCAAAAGGAACCTTCGTCTAACGTGGCAGCTTAGGGCAAAGCTGTCTCCGATCATTAAATGTCATCATTTATGTCATGCCCCCAGACGGGGGTTAGTGACGTGGAAGCTTGTTTAGAAATTTAAACCTGTTTAAGAGACTGATTAACAACTTTCAGTACAAAAATTTAAATTTCAATCCAAAATATCCAGGTATTTTTAAACAAGTCCCGCTATTTATGAGAAATTCAGTTACAAGAAAAGTGGTGGAATTTCCAACCAAACCAGTTCAAAACCTCACCCCTAGTATCATGTCAGGAATTCCCACAGGTTTAACAATACATGAATATAAATAAAAGTAAATGTTGACATCAACCACAATTTAGTAATATTTGAGTTTACAATCCATGATTTAATACATGCCTTAAGATAGAAGGAAAGGAAAATACAACTCTTCACTTCTCGAAGACGGGTCCACCACACCGAGAGTAGCTACCTACTCAGCACTACTCATCGCGTCGCCTGGAGGGGTTTAATACATTTAAAATAAGAAAAGTGAGCGGAAGGCTCAGCAGGATACAATTTTATAAAACATTGTAAATAAAGATACTCACGGTCCGAAGACATACACCGGAACTGATCGTCCATTTTAGAAAAAAGAAATACTCACATAGTAGTACTAAAATATTGGTATAATGAAAATATGCAGAGCCATAACACCACTGAGCAAGAAGTGGACTGTATGGGTTTCAGGACCTGCCCTCAAGGATATGTTCTCATATCCCGAACTCTGAGGCCACCATGCGTTTTATCATTTCTTAAAATATTTCATTTTAAGAAATGATACTTTTTAAAATCTCATTTTCAAAATCATTGGAAACTCAATAGCATTATTTATGCTATTTCCTTAAAAATTATTTTTCTTTAAACATATTTTATTCTAAAACATTGTCATTGGCCAAAACAGTTGAATCATGGTTATCAAGGATATGGACAAGAATATCCTACCTCTCATATATCAAACTTGTGGCTATCTTCACGTAGCCCTAGCTCCACTTGTCTTTGAAGCTCTAATTCCAATCGTGCCACTAATTTCGTCATCAAAATCAACGATTTAGAGTTTAATCTTTTCCACTAAACATTCTTGTTTAATTATATACAATTGTATCATCTTAGTGTGCCTTAACGTAAAATCAAAGCTTACAAATGATTCTTAATTCAAATCACGATTCTTTGGGAATTGAGATTCGTTCTGAAAAATCAAATGGGAACAAGGATCAATGTGGCCAATCCACTCATTTTAAGTTATCAAATGAAGTTGGGTCGGTTCTACATCGAGTTTCGAGATATAAATAGGATTTTTGAACTGTTTGGGGTCGGCCTTAGTGTGAATTGGTCAACCGGTGACAGAGGAATGTAACTAAACCGGTCGACTGGTGAATGGGTGACCTGTTGACCTGTGGGGAAAATTTCAAGGCAAAAAATGGCCGATCCGCAGTAAACAAAGCCAAATCCTATAATTTCGGGTTCAATTTCAACATATTCTCAATAGAAATTTGTAAATCTAGGTTCCAATCAACAAATGGGGTTCAAAGAATCAAAATACCTATAAATTTCATCAAAACACATTCGAAATTCATTCGAAAACAAATTTAAACCAAAAATCACCAAACTCGACTAAAACGAGTTCCACAAGACTAAATCCGAAAATCCAAAGTGAGTTTCAAAGAGTTTTACCTTGATCTAAGCTTCGATGTTGAAAACCTTTTGGAAATCTTCATTTTTGGTTCAAATCCGGCCCAAAATCTGCTTGAGAGAGAGAGAGGAAACTTTGAGAGAGAGGGAGAGAGAGATGAACGGGAGAGAAGGATGAACGAGAGATGGAGAGAGAGAGAGAGAGCTCGGTGGGAGGGAGACGAGAGAGAGAAAGGAAGAGACAAGATAGAGAGAGAGAGGGAGAGTGAGAGAGTAACAAGAGAAAGAGAGAGAAATTAAGGAAAAGAAAGAAAAAAAATGGGGGAAAAATAATAAGGAAAGACAAATAAAGTGGAGGGGGTGGAAGCATGTATTTTCACATACTTCCAGGGTGAAATCATAAATACTAAAAGTAAGTTTAAAAGTTCTTGATTAATTAAGAGAAATTAAATTTAGGCACACTAATAATCCACAATTAGCATAATTAAACATGTTTAATTTTTAATGGTGCTACAATTTATGACGTGAGTCCCATCTAAAGTCTAGATTAGGGTTTGGAATTTTTACCCTACAACAATATTAATTAAAAATAAAGGGTGAAAATCTAAGACTAATGCATCCTAAGGGGTATTTGTCTTCTTTTCCCTTGAGAAAATCAATTAATTGGATTCTTGCTTCTTGGCCTAAATACATTTGACTTTAATCAAATATTATTCCCAAGCATATATTCTGTTCTATTGTTGTAAAAAAATATTTGCATTATTGTGCCTACAGCCTCTAAGAACTGAGTATATTTCTTTATGCAAAGCTTAATATAATTAATCTGATATTCGCTATGCACGGCTATAAACTAATTTTTTGTAGGCTTAGTAATGATTAACGTTTTTAATAATACCTTAGATTGTTTAATCTTTACCAATCCATCAGAGTCTTGGTACCTAATTAAGAATTTAACTAAATTAATTGGCTTCCTGTATTGATAATCCCAGCTAACGAACCGAGCCAATTAGCGACATCTCTTAGCTTTGCGTTGGCAAATTTGACCAGAAATTATAATTCAGTCGTTTTAGTTTGGCAGATCGCTCGAATCTCTGTTATTGTGAAAAAGGAATAGAGAAATAGTCTAAATGTAGACACAAGGCATGCAAAATATGCACAACTAGCTAATAATTGGTTAATTTTGATTGGACCAGACCAGAGTATATATAGAACTGTCTTAGGACATGATTAATGGGGTCAATTACAACTTGATTAAGGAAGATTATTCCCATCACTAAGTCGATCAGAACCTTATTAAGAAACCTTCAACATATACATATCTACAACCACTAGGTAGGTAGCAACTAGCGCTTGCTAGGAAACCGTTATTAATGAAAGTCAAATTAAATTTGGATTTTTTCATGCTACTAATTAACTATTGTTAAGAAGAAAATATAGCTTTGTAGTTAGCCTAGCTGTTGAGATAACAGAATTAGTGTACTAATTGTAATGATCCTTGTCGTCT